CAAGGATACTCCAAGTAAACCATAATATTGTTACCTTCCAACTTGCGTGAGGGTACGGTACCATGGTTGCTCCAGGTAAACCTTAGCCTTAGTCATCAGTGCCATCAACGCTTCCTGGAAGTACGCTGGACTGCGTTTTCAAGGTGCTTGGCTATAGAGCCGGTGCACGTCTGCTTCGAGGATTCGTTCGCTCAAGTTTCAGTCACTCAAGTTGTCAACGAGGCATGACATTGGCGGCACTAGATCTTCCCATAGTGCACCACAGCCATGAGTTGTCAAACTATGTGGTCATGACACACCTATACACCCTAAACCCGCCTCTGAAGTCTATAACCATTGAAATCTGAAGCAAAAGCCTATTAGGTTCTGAGCAGGTGTTGGCAAAGATTGCACCCATACGTCAGAATGAGCCAACGGCGCCTTAGTCCAGTGCCTACTCAAAGGGCTTAAGATTTAGGAGGTCTAGGGTTTAGGGTTTAGAGTTTAGGGTGTAGGTTTCAGGGAAAAAATGGCTGAACCACGTGCCAGTGTGCATCGAAAGAGCCCTCGAAAGCAATCCATCCCAGAACAATTTCTTGGAGCACGTGCTGCGTCGCCAGCCCGGGACAAACCATGCTGAAGCAAAAGATGTCACTAGCCCTAAACCTACAAATCCTACAAACCCTATACAAACCCTGCAAACCCTACGAAGCCTACAAAGCCTACAAACCCTACAAACCCTATGAACCTTACGAAGCCTACAGAGTCTACAAAGCCTATGAACCCTACAAACCCTACAAACCCTAAGCCCTAATGTAACGCTGGCGATGAGCATGTGAACAGGATTTTAGCCCTCAACACTTAGCCTGACACTTGATGCAAAATGTACGACATGATGCTAGGAGCACTCCCGAGAGAGCCACGTTCAGCATGCCCCTGGAATAGGAAACACCCTCTACACCGCATAGGGATCCGTGTTACGACTTGGAAGACACTCACAAGAGTTCTGAGTCTCCCTGGGTAAGTGTGGCTCGAGAAGAAACAGGGCACCAGCCTGATCCTCGTCCGCCTCAAACGGCTGTAGGGCTGTGGTTTTGGGACTGAGCCGCTATTGCTGTAATGGGGGGGGGGGGGGGGGGTGGGGGGACAGCTAAACCCTAAAACCCAAACCCTAAACCCTAAACCCTACACCCTAAACCTAAACCCTAAACCCTAAAACCTAACCCTAAACCTAAAAACCTAAAGGGGGGGGGGGGGGGGGGGGGGGGTAGCGGCTATAAACAAAAGCCTTTGCTAACCAAGGCCACTGGATTCTTGGGAGCTCTATCCAGAAAAGCGCTTTTGCCCTCAAGCAAAAGAAGCGCACCTGACCTCTCAGTAGACTTGCGAGATGGTTCTTTTTGAAAGCACAAGGCTACTGTAGCCAAGTATCCAGTAAACCCTATCCTAAACCAAGTAACCTCCAAATTGTCAGCTTTGGGAGTTTAAGCAACCCCTAAAACCCAAACCCCAAACCCAGTCTATCGCCTCGAATTCAAACCCTGAACCCAGCAAGCTCTATTGACAGTGCTGTCAGTTGATTTTGAACTGTTCAGGCCGTGGTTTCATCGATTTCTTTGACCTAGGACAGGGACCAGGGCAGTTGCAAGGCGACCAAGCGACACTCCATCGTTTAGGGTTTAGGGTTTAGGCCACTTTAGGGTTTAGTAATTTAGGGTTTAGGGTTAGGGTTTGGGGTTGAAGGTTTCAGGTTCCAGGCTTAGGGTCCAAGCTCGGCAGTGTTCTGTAAAAAGGTCCTTGTTGTCTCGCAAAGTCCCCTTTTGGGGAGCAGTGTCGTGTTGCTTGTCAAGTGGTCATACGACGACGCAAGAACGGCCTGCCAGGATAAGCTGCAGTAAAATACTCCAACAACGACCTTTTTCTTCCAACTCCTTTGCTGCTGCAACCTGTTGCAGTTCCTACATGGGGGTTTAAATTCAGGGACCCCGAAAAGGACCCCAAAACGGCACCCCAAATTTCGGAAACCACATCGGACGTCTGAACCTACCGTGTGCAGTCCAGAATGTGTGGATCCCTGCCTCTCCGTGCGGAGAGTCGAGTCAGAGGGATTGCTACTTGCAGAAAGGGGGGTTTCCGAAATTCGGGGGGTCCGTATTATAAGGGAATCCTACTGCTTCGGGCCTATATTAGGGGTCCCCTTTCCTAATCTCTGAACCCCACACCTGGCCTCTGAGCAGCGTCTCGCGCTGCTTGGCACGGAGCTGCACGGATCGGAGGATGGATGCGAAGGGAGTAACCTGAACTTGGGCGCGCCCGAAAGCTCCATGTGTCTAAGTTACGTACGTGTTTGGGGTTTAGGGTTTAGGGTTTAGGCTTTCGGGTTTAGGGCTGAGGGCTTAGGGTTTCGGGTTTCACTTGGGCTTGAAAGTGTTCTCTACGTAAAGGCTTTGGGGGCATGGGCCTTTAGGGGCGAAGATGGAAGGCGGGAGGCTGACGTCTGCAGATGGAACGCCGTCTCTGTGCAACGAAAGCTTAAACTCCTAAACCCTAAACCCTAAACCCTAAACCCCTGAACTTAAACCCTAAACCCCAAACCTTCGCGGTGTAGTTTAGAGTTCCAGCTGCTCGAAAAGTTGCTTAAACCCTGAACCCTTAAATCCTTCTGACCCCAAAGCCCCAAAGGTGGCCCTGTTTAATCTTAACAGGGTTTAGGGCTTAGGGTTTAGGGTTTCGGGTTTAGGGTTTAGGGGCTTAGGGCTTAGGGCTTAGGGCTTAGGGTTTAGGGTTTAGGGTTTGGGGTTTAGGGTTTAGGGTTTAGGGCTGTCTGCATCTGTCTGCGATGAGGGCACGCCAATGCCGGCCCCGACGGCCATGAGGGTGTCGAAGCCCCAGACCTGTGGTGGGGTTTGGGGTTTGGGGTTTGGGGTTTGGGGTTTGGGGTTTGGGGTTTGGGGTTTGGGGTTTGGGGTTTGGGGTTTGGGGTTTGGGGCTTGGGGCTTGGGGTTTGGGGTTTGGGGTTTGGGGGTTTGGGGTTTGGGGTTTGGGGTTTGGGGTTTGGGGGTTTGGGGTTTGGGGTTTGGGGTTTGAGGTTTGGTGTTTGGGGTTTGGGGTTGGTTCGGGGTTTGGGGTTCAGGGTTAAAAGTTGAGGGTTTAGGGTTTGGGTCGGGGCCTGAGGTTTACCCATGATGAATTCGGTTTGTCGTATTTGGGGGGCGTCTTCGGGCGGGACTTCGGCTTTCGCGCAAAACTCCGAACCTGCAAGCCGAACCTTCAAAACAAGAACGCCCCGAACCATGTGATGTAGGGTTACAAGTGCCCTAAATAAGGTGACAACCAGCTAAATCTCACAGTTACCAACCATACTTATCACCCCGTGTATCCCAACCCATGAACCTCCAAGTAAAACATCCCAACCTACACCCCTAAGACCTCGACCATCGCAATAATCGGCCATGCTGCTTTTTGCGCAGGAGCGCCAAAGGGCCCAGTGACTTGGAGCATCACCGCCTGTTTGAGTTTGGGGTTTCGGGTTTCCCTAAACCCTAAACTTAGGGTTTTCAGACTTTGGTTTGGAGGATTTGCCTTTTGGCGGTCTGTGGTTATTGCTCTCCAAGAGCATTGCGTGCTTGGACTCTCCGAATCTGGGCGAGGGCGAGGATTCAGATTGTCAGATAATAGGAGGGTCATGTACCTAAATAAGATAGACTTGTGCGTTTAGTTAGAGTCATGCCCTCTGACTGCAATTATCTTGCTCACGCGCCTCGTACCTTGTGCTGATCTGTTAATACGTGTTCAAGGGTCTCTGCTTAAAAAGTGGGATGGATGTCTGTGCCTAGAACCAACTTCCATGTCTTTGGTAGTCAAGAAAAGGCTCCTGGCAAGGTTTCAAAATGTACACCTGAAATCCTGAGCAAAATCCTCAGCCGAAAACTCGTCACACAGGCTAAATGCCTCCGTCGGTAGCAGGCTTGCAGGAGGGTTACCTGCGCGCACACACACACCCACACAGCCTTCAAGCATTGGAATTTTTGCCTTAGACTCCGACGAGCCAAGCCGGCAAAGGACACAGACGAGGTAGCCAGGTACAGCGAGAAAGACAAGTGCAAGGCCCTGAAATCCTCTACAAGGGCTTTCAGCTGTAAACCCGGCTCAGGCACATGCACATAAAGCTCCAAAAATGATCAAACACATTGTGGATGTACTTCAGGAGCCCCCTCACAGAATAGTCCAGGCGATGGCCCAGGAGTAATTTCCCAAAAGCCTCCGCGCACCACATGCCCAACCCTAAACCCTAAACCCTAAAAGCGCGCAAATCCTGAAACCGAAGCCCTGAATTTTCATTAAGCTGTCGAGGCAGAGCTACCCGTTCTGGTGCAAACACACGAAAACCCTAGCGCTAAACCCTAAACCCTAAACTCTTAACCCTGAACCCTAAACTCGAAACTCTCGACCCTAAACCCCAAACCCTAAACCAAAAACCCGAAACGCAAGGCGGCCACTCCACTCTCGCAGATGAGAGCAAAGAACCACCGATAATACGCAAAAAGCACCAAAGGAAAGGCGAGCTTTGTGACGACAAACCAGAAGCAAACATTCCCAACACTGAGAGGACCCCAGGGCCAGCCGTAGTATGGACAAGCCAAGAATAAGAATCATCCCCTCCCGCCCGCCCCCCGCCATCCAAAGTAACCTTGCGACGAAATAAAGATAGAATATACTTCCTGAGGGGACTTGATTTCCGTGGGGAGGGGGGGGGAGTAGAACTATGATCCCGATGGACGGGCAACACGCCTCCCTTCTGGGGGGGGGGTTGCGTTTTCAGATATTCGATTTATTAACCCTACATTGCAATCAAGGGTCTGATCGCGACGAGCAAGCCGGAATGCTAAGACACGTGCGCAGAGCCCCTCAATACACAACAAGAACACCTATCTAATTTAGACGACGCTCCTCAACCCTAAACCCTAAACCCTAAACCCTAAACCTAAAAGTTCAGGGGTATTGGGCTCTATGAGTTCCTATCATCCTGCCAGGGCGCTGATCAAGCTCACGCCCGACTGGGATGCCGGATCTGATCGGAAGGCTTTATAGGGTTTTATAGGTTAATTCTTTTTTAAAATGAGTTTCTACAGGGTTTATAGGGTTTTTAAGGGATGCCGCAGTGTTATAGGGTTTATAGGGTTTGTAGGGGTTTATAGGGGTTTATAGGGTTTATAGGGTTTACAGGGTCCCTGGAAATCCTAAACTCTCTAAGAGTAGTTGCATGGTCCCTCGTATGGGCCCTTAAAAGGGGACCCCTTAGAAACCCCTTATATACCCTATACATCCCAAGGGCCCATATTTCACAACACTTTAAAGGAGGTAAGGGGCCAAGGGCCCCTGATACTACCCTTCGAAACTCCTAAACCATGAAAAGCTATAAATCCCAACCCAATGGCCTAAACTTCCCGCAAGCCCTGAGACATCGGTCGGGCTTGTAAGTCCTTCGTGAGGCTCATGAATAGCTCTTGCTTTTTGCGGCACCCGGGGGTTGAACAAAGCTGTGAAATAAGCCCTAAACCTTAGGATGTTCCGCCTGAAACTGGCAGTCCATATTAGGGATTCTAGTACCCCTTATTACAATCCCTATTAAGGACTGTTAGTATAAGGAGGAACATCCCAACCTGAAGCCCATCAACCAGAGCTTCGGCATTCCGACTTGTCCCCTCGTTTCCCCCCTTCCCCCCCCCCCCCCTTTACCTTCCCCCCCCCCTTCCCCTAGCCCCCTTTCCCTCCCCCCTTCCCCCCCCTTCCTTCCCCCCCCTTCCCCCCTTCCTTCCCCCCTTCCCCGCCCCTTTCCCGCCCCTCCCTTGCCCCTTTTCCCCCCTTTTCTCTTCCGCCCCCTTCAAAAAAAAGGTGCCAGCCCCTAACCTCGCAGACCCTATACCCTAGTCCTAAAACCCAAAAGCCCTCAACCCTGAACCCTACCCCCCCAAATTCTCCTCCCAAGTTCTGCTTAAGCCAAGAGAAGTGGGCCTCCCTCCCGAAAGCTTGGGTGGCGTCCCTCGGGCTGCGAGGCGCCCCTCGGGGGGAGGGAGCGGGGCGCGTCCCAAAGAGAGGGTTTAGGGTTTAGGGTTTAGGGGGGTTTAGGGTTTTTGGGTTTTGGGTTTAGGGGTCTTGGGGTTTAGGGATTAGAGTTTAGAGGTTGAGCATTTTGTGGGCCCTGCGGGGTGGGGTGGGGGGTGGTAGGTAGGGCTGGGACTTGCAACGTCTCAAACTCCAGCGGCCGATTCAAGTTGTGTCCTAAGTAAGCTTCAAGGCCACCGTAGCTTTCGGATAGCTAGGCCGGTAAGCCTTAACTAAGGCTTAGGTCTTATTGCTAATCGTCTCCACGGGACCAGTTTGTGAAGAAGAGCCCATATGTATTGTGTGGTATATACACTATATAATGGTAAACAAGATAAATATAGAATATATATATAGATACATATACAGATATGTATATATATACACATATAACTACGCTCTGGCGCTTGCCCTAGTCCCTCTGTTTGACAGACGAGGTGCCGCGTGGGAATGAGGGAGGAGAGACCTGGCCTGGCAGCGCGGGGCACTTCAGGGGCAAGGACGGGGTCCCCAAACCCTAAACCCCTAAACCAAAACCTAAACCCAAACCCTAAAAACAGTTTCGGATTTAAACCGAAAACCCTAAACTTCAGGGGCCAGGACGGGGTTTCAGTTCGGATTTTTAAACCCTAAAATCCCGAAACCCTAACCCTGAACCGAGGGAACGGTTTCTCTCGGGAGACCGACCCCGGGTTTAAAGGTTTCGGGTTTACAACCAGACCGAACCCAAGGGTTTAAGGTTTCCGGGTTAAACCCTAAACCGGCCTGAACCCCGGTTTAAGGTTTCTTTGGTTTCGGGTTTTAAGCCCAACCCTGAACCCCCGGGTTAAGGTTTCTTGGATTCGGGTTTTTAAAGCCTAAACCCTGAACCCAGGGGTTCAGGCTTTTTGGTTTCGGGGTTTTGTTAAACTCCGAAGCCTCAAACCCAGGCTTTATGTAGGATCATTGGGAGGAGGTTCGATACTTCGCTGGAAAGTCCTACGAGATGGAGGTAGCGTGGGGTCACGATAGCGTGGGTTTCAAAAAGAGCAGGGAACAAATGCAGGGCTTATAAACCCAAGATAACCTATAGAAATAAGGTTTAGAGTTTAGGGTTTAGGGGTTAGAGTTTAGGGTTTGACTCAAGAGCAACCTAGAGATCAAACATGGCGCCCTTTCTGGATAAAGCCGGCTTATAAGGGAACCCAGACCCTAAAACAAGGGAAAAGCGCCTACTCTGGGTCCTAGGTATATTTTCGAAGGAGGCATATCCAGGGCTACACATGACACGCCTATAGAGGCTGACAGCAATTGAAAGTGCAAAGTTTTACAAGCACCCTCCAAAGGAGAAGGAGGAGGAGTAAGAATGATAACTACGGCAATGGTAGGAGGAGGAGGAGTAGTAGTAGTCCTACTACTACTGCTACTAAACGACGATACTACATGCACCTCCCAGGCTAAAACCTCCCTCCCCCCACCCTCAGCCTTCTCCGATGGAGATGGCAGCCTCGGCTGGCGTCGCGGGATCCACTAGAGAACCTTGTCTCTGGACCCACTCCTCCTCTGCACGCTCCTAAGCCTTGAGACTCTAAACGCAAGCTTCATTCTTGGGGAATTTCATACACGAGGATTGCAGGGACCAGAGCTTCTTCAGGGCTCTGGGAAATGGGTCTGTCATCGTCCCTTAACGCCACCAAAAGTCGTGACATAGGCACGCTAAACTGGGCGCTGGGGTGTCGCGACGAGTGTTTGGGATGTCGTTTGGAGCTTAGGGCTCCTTGACAGTACTGTTGACTGTGAGTTTTCAAGTCTCTAAAGGTGCAAACTATAGGTAGGAAGCCCCCAACAGTGGCCCTGATTTAGGGAACCTCCATCTGGGCATCTAGCTAGAGTTCAAGCATGTTGCATAACTACCAAACACCTATAGACATGCGATTATGCATGTATATTAATATATATACATATATGATGTGCCATTTAACCTTAGGGGCTACTGCAGATTTTTACACACACGCACATGCACACGCACACGCCACACCAACCCCACCCCCCCCCCGACACAGACACAGAAACCCAGACACAGACACCACACAGACACAGACAAGACACAGACACAGACACAGCCACAGACACACACAGACACACACAGACACAGACACAGACACAGACCAGACACACACACACACAGACACAGACACAGACACAGACACACACACACACACACACACACACCACACAGACACAGACACACACACAGACACACACACACACACACACACACCTCTAAGGGCTCCTGTGTCATGTTTGCATATACATGCCTTTAAAACAGGGTTCCTAGCAGGCGAAGGGCCCCTCCATTGTCGGAGGGCGGAGCCGAACGTCCAAAATTCATAGTCGCTTAGGTGTAGGGTTTAGGGTTTAGGGTTTACCTTGATAAAGATGTTTTTAATTCATCGCTTAATGGTTTAAACTTCCTTTACCTTGAGAAGGAGTACTGTGGGAGTTCATGTGGCCCCCTTGAATTCAACCGTGCCACGTTCAGCTTGTCTGCCCGTCCGTCGCCGAGCCCTGTATCTGTGGGCACGTTGTACACGATGTGGCCTGTCATGTGGGTTGCGGTTTGGGCTTAGGGTTTTAGGTAGCCAAACCCTTACATGGGAGTTTACGATACTAAGGGACTCCAGATATAGACCCTCAAACAGTAGGATTCCCTTATAAAGGGCCCCAAGAAGGTACCCCTGAATTTCGGACGCCCCCACATCTGGGGATGAGATGATGAGAGCCCGAATGGTCGTGTACTGGTCCTTACATCTTAGGGCACCGTATGATCACTGGTACTCGAAGGGGCTTTACTTCTTCACAGCTGATGATAAACCTTGTCCTCGAGATGAGGCGGAAGAACTCTGAGGTCTGCACCTAAACCTGTACAGCTCTCTTCATAGCCCAAAGCCCTGGACCTTGAACCCTAGACCCGAAACCAAGATTCTCCCAAAACCCCGTATGTGCCAAGGCGCTGTTCGGAAGGACTTTGTTGCAGTAGTCGAAAATCTTCGGGGCCTGCCGTGCAGAACTCAGGGGGGATCAACTGGGGCATATTCCACATGTTGGCCCCCTTGAGTCGAAAAACCTGAGGGCGTGGGAACTACAGGGTTACCTCGTTGCCCTAAACCCCCAACAGCCACAACCAACCCCAAAAGCTTGTAACACCCTGAAAACAACCTCAAGCCCTAAACCCTAAACCCTGAATCCTAAACAAGGAATAAAGGCTCTGTCGCCCCCCCCCCCCCCGCCCTCGAAAAAAACACACACACACACACACACAAAGAGGACGCCTTGGGCGGCTTGTCCGGCAACGGCTCGCCCTTCGCCTGTGCGGGCGCCTCCTGGTCGAGCGAGTTGGGGTCTTAAGGCTAGTGTCTTGGGGTGTTGGGTTTAGGGTTTAGGGTTTAGGGTTTAGGGTTTAGGCTTTCAGGATTTAGGGTCTAAGGGCTAAGGGCTTAGGGTCTCTGAAGTTGTAAACTAAGACGATGAAGCAAAATGGGCTGTGCCCTCAATCCTCAGACTTAAAGAAACCATCAGCCTCGCCCACCCTGGATGTCGTGGTCGAGCTTTTCTCCTACACTGCCTATGCTCTCACACCCTCAAAAGGCATTCTCTGGAAACACTCTTGGGGCTAGGCACCCAGGAATTCTCTCTTGGGCAGGGACACTCTGGGGTTGCTTGGTCACTCTACAGGCTGGCACTCCAGGGATTCTCTGACAAAGGCAAGGGGCTCTTTGGGGATACTCTTGGGGTTTGGCCCTGGGGATTCTTTGGGGAGTTTAGGGGTTAGGCTTTGGGGTTTAGGGTCATTCTTGGAGCTGGGCAGCCCAGGCATTCTCTGGACATAGTTTGGGGGCTGTGCACTGCTCGGCACTCGGGGTTTTCTGGGGCTAAGCACTCCAGGGATTCCTGGGCGAGGAGTATAGATGGGGCGAGGAGAAGAGTGCAGCTTGCACTCTAACAAGGGGAACAAACGGCTCAACCTACATAACCCCGACATTCCCTAAAGGAGCCGCAGGTCCTCGGTGAGTCGCTTCCGCAAGGCGGAGCACCTATCATGGCGAAGAGATGAGCTTCATGGGTTTAGGATGTCCAGCTTGAGGTTAAGGTTTCAGGGGGGTATGGGGTTTGTTCTACATTTGGGGGCTTGTTCTATTGAGGGGTTCGCTTGTGAAGATTGAAGAACTGTTCCCTCTTCTGGATCACAACCCCCTCCCCCTCCCCTCCAAAACAAGAACAAAACGTGGGTTTTTTCTTTTAAGAAGAGTCCTTCAGAGTCAAGGGCTTCTACTAGCAGCTGCAGGGGGTTCGCTGGGGTTTTCGGTACTAGGACGGCCGTGGTGGGCACCAGTCAAGGTTGCTGGCGGCGCGGATGTGTACGGAGATGCAGTTCTCCTGCCGCTGACGAGGTTTTGGAGTTGGAAGGCGTGGGAGGCGTCCACCCTAAATCCCAATAAGCCCTAAACCCCAAACTGTGGACGAGCTGCTAGTTTTGTACCGCGATAAGGAGCGTTGATCGAACCCCCATTCTTACTTCTACTATGGCTGTAACAAGAATGATGATGCTAAAAATCATGATTCTTGTTGCTCTCACTATCATTGTGAACGCTGCTTTGCTTGCTATTACTACTGCAATTCCTTTCAACCCTCTAAACCCATGTTCCCTTTTTCAAGGTAGTAATGGGCGGCCCTATGTCAACATCCCTGCAACCTCGAGACCCTGACCCCGAAATCGCAAAACTCCCTGGACCCCCCAAAACACCCTGTGCGGTTTTGGGAGTGCTGGGTGCTGGGCCGAGACACCCCCAGAGGCAGCTGCATTTGGGTATTTCCCCAAAATAGGGGTACCCCTTTGTTGCCCCGAACAGAATAACGTCCCCTTAAAAGGGACCCCCACAAGGGTACCCGATTTTTGGACACCCTCATGTAGGTTCAGGGCCTCGGAGTCGGGGGGGTTCCAGTCTTGGCATGGAGCTTAGCGCGCCGAGTTTTCAGGACAGGGTCCACAGGCTCCATGCAATCTACAACGTCCTAGTCAAGCCCCTAAACCCTAAACCCTAAACCCTAAACCCTAAACCCTAAACCCTAAACCCTAAACCACCCCTGAAAGAATTGCAAACACTCAGTTCCATGGCCAGCTTGTGTCCTCAGGGGCCGAGGTCAAGGTGAACGGGTGCCACTCGCCTTTCCAGCCAAGGAGGATGTACTGGCCCGCCTGAGGCTCGGGGTGTAAGGCTCGATATTCTTAAGAATCCAGGACGCCCGAGAGCCCATTGCGTCTGAACGTACCAATAACCCTAAAACCTGAAACCCCTAAGCAAATAAGGCATATTCCGTGACTCAAGGGCATTCAGCTCTCTGATTCGAGCCAGGCAAGGCTCCTTAGGAGTCTGGAGAGTTTGCATTTGAATTGCAGTAAAGGCTTTGTTGTTTTTTCTGCTCAGTTGCCGGTGCGTGGCTTGTGGGCAACTGAGCCGAAAACATTCGCAAGACGTGGGGTGTAAGTCTTGTGGTGGCAGGCAGTCGCACCTCACCATGATTTTGCGTCGCCAACATCATGGTGAACCCCCTCCCCACCAACGCTCTCCCAAGTGAAACTCTAAACCTGAAGACCCATCCAAGAACACCCTCCAACTACCCCACCCAAAGGCCATTGAAGATGCCCAAAATACCACTCATGGTAGAACAGATTAGGGTTTAGGGTTTAGGGTTGAGGGTTGAGGGTTTAGGGCTAGCTCCAGCCTGATAGACGAAGCCCTGAGGGACATCGAAGGTCAAACCGATCACATCGCCTCGGAGGGTCTTCAACTGCTTTGAAGGCCTCTGAGGGACGAGTCAAACAAAAACTAGGGTTTAGGGTTTAGGGTTTAGGTTTAGGGTTTCGGGTTTAGGGTTTAGGGTTTAGGATATAGGGATTAAGGATCAGAAATCAAGGACCTCCAGCAAGCCACAGTGCTTAACCCTGATGGGCAGCTCTTGATGGCAGCTTTGACGCTAACCCCTAAACCTAAACCCTAAACCCTAAACCCTAATTTAAACCCTAAACCCTAAACCCTAAACCGGGTTGCACTTTGCCAGGGAGGAGTTGCGCAGCTATAGCTATGTCAGCAGCTCTCTGAAATAGGATCTTGGGCTTTAGGGTTTAGGGCCTTTGGCCTCTTTATCTGCTTCCCTGATACCTTGATATAGCCCCTAGATACCCTACATTGTCCCTTAGCGTGGGCCCTGAAAAGGGGGGACCCCTTATGTACCCCTTATGTACCCTAGACAACCCAAGGGCCCATACTTCAGAACCCTTTAAAGAACATCATATTAGCTTGAGGGCCCATGAAACTACCCTCAGATAGGATACTCTGGGGGTTTCTATTACATTGCGGAGGCCCCGGGCACCCAGAAAGCGGCCACAGGGCATAGCATTATGTCGAGATAGCTACTCATAGAGATTGGGCATCTTACAACAACATGCCACAGCTCAGCAATGAGGAGAAGAAGAAGCTTGCACGCACCGCATCGTGAAGCTTCCATGCCGAAGCCACAGAACCCAGAAAGCTCAATGAATGCCCCTCACATGCATGACAGATGCATGTCTGGTGAGCCTACAGACCATGCCACAATGCGCGAAACATCTGCTTTTCTGCGACTTCCACAATCTCTTGAGCGCTTCCGAGGTATATGGACCATAGCTATAGGCCTTTGTAGCGGTTCAGAGCACAGTGGGAAAATTAACAAGGTCCGTAAACCCCCTAAGCCAAGCGAGGTTCGAGGCAGCAACTTGACCTGCTTGAGGGACAAGTTGAGCGCCTTGGCTGATGCGGCGTTGCAGTTGAGGCTGCAGACCCAGTTCAGCGCTTTCCAATACCTCTTGCAAAAAAGAGCCACCCCTAAACCTAAGAACCCTACAGGCTACTCTCTAGGTAGTGTCTCTGGCTCTCCTGGACTTAAAGCTTTGACAGAGTCAGGTTCTGCAACATCCAGCAACCATAGTCAGGCCATTGAATCCCCTTGCAAACCGGGCTATAGTTGGAAGCAAGCGAACCTGATACAAACAAAGAACATCGTAAACGTGCGTGCTTCGTGTGCTGGTGATGGCCGATGGTGATGGAACTCCTAAACCCTCAACCCCTAAACCCTAAACCCTAGAACGGGCACATGGGCGAAATCGAGCCAGGATGCTTGGCGATTTGCGAGGAGGAGACGGTCGACGAAAATGAGGATTGCCGGGAAGAAGAACCTGGATACATCCTCTTAGACCCCGAAGCCCTCGCAATGCCCAAACCATGGCCCTAAACCCGCCTAGACACCTAAACCCTGCACCCTAAACCCTAAACCCTAAACCCTAAACCCTAAGCCCTATGCCCTAAGCCCTAAACCTAAACCGGAAGCCCTGAATTTCCCTAAACCAACCCTAAACATCCTAAACCCTGGAGTCGGCATTCTAGTTTTCCGTTGGGAGTCTGGGGAAGGCCCACGGAACCACTTAGGCTTGCAGCAAAGGCCAACCAAAAACGTCGTTCCAACATGCAGCAAGGCAACGGCTAAGCAGAGGGCTTGGGGTTTGGGTTTAGGGTTTAGGGTTTAGGGTTTAGGGTTTAGGGTTTAGGGTTTAGGGTTTAGGGTTTAGGGTTTAGGGTTTAGGGTTTAGGGTTTAGGGTTTAGGGTTTAGGGTTTAGGGTTTGGGGGACCCCAGGAATCGGAAAGTCATGGGAAAACGAGGAGATGCAGGTATGACACCTTGGCCACCGGCTGCCCAAAAGTCCCGCATTCAAACCTTCTGCCCAGACCGTAACCTAAAAACAACAGGGCGCCGCCCAATGTTGTGCCCCTGCCTAAATACCATAAACCCTAAACCCCTAAAGCCTAAACGCTAAACCCTAAACCCTCAACCCTAAACCCTAAGCCGTCCGAGCCGCCAGATCCACAACCTCGCCGGGGCGTGCAACAGCAGCAGCACCTCGGCTTTGTGCCGAGTCGGAAGGGCGAAATCAACCCTGAACCCTATAGGGTTCATCTAGGGTTTATATAGGGCTCATCTAGGGTTCATATAGGGTTCATCCAGGATTCATCGAGGGTTCCTTGATGTCTGTGCATCTATGTATCACCAGCCGCTGAGGTGCGTAGATGAACTTCCAGGACATGTGCACGCGCCAGAACCTGGGCTTCTGAGTAGAGTGGCACGTGGGGAGGGGAACCCCAACATATTGCCCCAATGAGGCTTCATTCAGAGCTCTTTGGGGAGATGTCAAGGATCAGCAGATGCCCGATGTCCCATGAAACCCCGAATCAGAGCTTATGGCATTTATTTGTACCTTCCTTTGTTATAGAGCCGTGGGCTATCTTTACCCTAAACCCTCAGCAAACATACCTAAATAAGGACCCTTACATCTAAAATCCTAAAGTAAGACAGGTCAGGTTGGAGAGCTCGGGATACGATGGGTCTTCAATAAATGGGAGGGGTCTTCGGGTTCAGGGGTTTGGGGATCTAGGCGTTTAGGAGTTCAGGAGTTTAGGGATTTGAGGGTTGAGGGGTTTTGGCAGGGTCTTGATGGTAGTGTAAAATTTGATACTGCTGACTGCAACCCAAAATTATCAAGCAAGTCCCAATGACCCCGTGACGAGGCCCTGTTCTCGTTGCCCCCGTATACCCGACATCCGAAACCCTAAACCCTAAGCCCTGGCTCGGGTCCCTGTGGCGATTTTAGGTTTGAGGGCTTGTGGTTTGCAGTAGGGTTTTGGGTGAAAAAGCTTAGGGTATAGGTTTAAGGCCTGAAGCCCTGAAACCCTAGAACCCTAAAACCCTTAAACCCTATAGACCCTAAACTCTACAACCCTCAACCCTAAACCCATCCCCGAGGCCCCCACACGTTGAACCCACCGAAGCGTCGCGACAGGCAGTTCGTTTTGCGACGAGCGCAAGGGAGTGCCTCTGTGCAGCTGTTTTGGGGTTAGGGTTCAGGGTTTAGGGTTTAGGGCTTCAGGCTTTACGATTTCAATTGGCGGGGGGGGGGGGGGGGGGTTCGGAGGGTTTAGGGTTTTTTTGCGGTTAAGTTAGGGCGAGGTTCTGGGTTTTAGGGATTCAAGGGCTTTCGGGACTATGGGGTTTTCGTGGTTTCGGGGGTTCAGGTCTTAGGGGTGAAGGGGGTGTCCTGGCGCAAGAGCCAGACTTGTGATTCCCTTTTGGAAGGTGTAGGGATACCCAATGAAGGTACATGTCCGCACTTTATGTCAAGGGCGGCAAAGGTTCGTGTAGGTATGGGGTTTATCCCTACACCCTAAACCCTAAACCCTCAACCCTCAACCCTAAACCCTAAACCCTAAAGAGGCTCGATGACTCTGCGCGGAACTGGGGAGGTGACTTCGCTTAAGCTCTCCAAGATTGGACCAAAGCCTTCCTGAAGCAAAAGGTCCATTGAAGGGTTTAGGGTTTAGGGTTTAGGCTTTTAACGTTTGGGCTTTAGGGCTTCGGATTTAGGGGCAGTCGAGCATTTTCCTCATCTATAGGTGCCAGACCCAAGAATCTAGCATAGGCATTTTACCGCTACACTGCTGCACATAACATTCCCCTGCAGGACGTGTGGAGCGCTCACCAAAAAAAACTCTGATGAATTGGATGGGGTGCCCCTTCTCCCCACCTCCAGCTCCCCGCCTTGCCCTCCCCCCCCCCCCCCCCCCCCCCCCCCAAAAAAAAAAAAAAAGAACAAAAAGAGGAAGGTACGACACATTCACAGCGCAGCTTCTGACACTACCCACTTCACTGGCAGCGATGCTCTGCTGTCAGCTTAGGCCCCCGCAGTCAGCAAAATCGCCAACATGAGCACCGTGAGAATCCTCGGCACTCCGCTTACTCCGCTTGCAGGTTCATGAAGTATGTTGTGAGAACTGGGTGCTTAATGCTTAGAAGACTTAGAACCATGCTTGGGAACTGAAAACCTCCCTAAACTTATGACGACCCATCAACCTTCCAGCAGGCGTGCAAGGGCCTGGGTCGGCTTGCAAGGAGTCTGAATATCGAAGGCTTTCAGGTCCAGGGTTCTGTTTTCGGGGCTGTCAGGCCCCCCCCCCCCTCCCTCCCCAGTGGCAAAGGTTTGGGGTTTAGGGTTCAGGACCAGCAGAGTACCAAAAATCATAGGCCCGCTATTTGATCTCAAACTGTGAGAAAAAAGGAAAAGCATGCAAGCCCTAAAGCTGTCAGGCGCCGCATACCCCGGCGATCCTGCAGACGAGCAGGACATCCACCACTGACCCGTTGAGTAGTACCCTAAACCCTGAACCCTGAACCCTAAACCCTAAACCTCAGGCCCTCGGCCCTAGGGCTTTTGGGGAAACTGCTTGCCCTCCAGCCCGCAGCCACAAATCCCAACCCCCCCCCCCCCCCCCCACCCCTCAACAAATCCCCAAAGTGCCTCAACTCGACCCCGCCAAACCCTAAACCCTAAACCCTAAACCCTAAACCCTAAACCCTAAACCCTAAACCCTAAACCCTAAACCCTAAACCCTAAACCCTAAACCCTAAACCCTAAACCCTAAACCCTGACTCCAAAACCCTGCTGGCTTCCGGGCTGCAGCCCGGTGAGCACGGCGCAGCGGTTGGAGAAGTTCAGGAGCTGATGGAAGAAGGTCATCCCGCTGGTCATCTCCTTTTGGGGGGTTAGGGTTTAGGGTTTAGGGTTTAGGGTTTAGGGTTTAGGGTTTAGGGTTTAGGGTTTAGGGTTTAGGGTTTAGGGTTTAGGGTTTGCTGTTGAGGAACTCAAGCTACCATACCAAGGACACATAGAAAACCACGTACAATTTAACATATACATGATACGTCTCCACATTTCGGTCGCTTAGTTTGACTTAACAGCAACCCTGTTTTTGAATGGGCTAGGAGTGCGGACTTGGACAGGGGACAGAAGGGGCGGGGTGGGGGTGGGAGGGATCGTAAAGCCTTAACCCTAAACCTTCATGAAACCTGTAAGAACTTCTGGATCTGCAGATGGACTTGGGGTGTGCGAGTCTTAGGCGCAGGGCTTAGGGTTCGGGAGTTGGGAGTTAGGGGTCTACAGGGGCCTACAGCCCTAAAGCCCCTAACAAAGCATCCTAAGCCCCTAGGCACATGCACACATCATGCGTTCTCCTGTGCGCTCAGCTTCCATAGCTGCAGCGGATCCAGTTGCATCAGCGGGGCCACTTTGATTGAGTAGGCATGCACCTCGCTTGTATGTGCAGGTTCATTGACTCATGGGTAGTAATAGGCAGGGCTATGCAAGTACCCTAAATTCATGGGTAGACATAGGCAGGGTCATAAGTACCCTAGCCTAAATGCGGTTAGACCCAGATCTACTTATACTTACCTTCCGCAAGACCCCACTTTGAATTACCCATGAACCTCCCAATATCCGGAAGACGACTTACATGCTAAAGTTTACAGGGTCCAGGCTCACAGTCTGAATGCTCTAGGGCTCCTACATGCTCAGCCCCAACTCGCCAGAAGAACAGACATGATCAGACGCTTAAAGCCTTAATCCCGAAACCCCGGTCAGGTCTCACACGCGAACCCCGCCTACGTGCTTCACCCCATTTAGACCCTGCATTCTGCGTTCTGGGGGTTTGGGAAGAAAAAACCCTAAACCCTAAACCCTAAACCCGAAACCCGAAACCCTAAACCGTAAACGTAATTAGGGCACATGAAAGGTCTGCGGGTTTTTGTATAGGGAAAAAGAGGCCTGCTTGCTTGCCTCCCCCTCTTCTCATGATACTGAGCCCTTACTCTGTGCTGTGGTTTAGGGTATAGGGTATAGGGTTTAGGGTTTAGTGTTTAGGGTTGGCTTGTCTGCACAGAGCAAGGGAAATCCGCCGTGGCACACAGTGAGCGGCAATGTGGATTGAAGCCCCCAGGAAAGTGAAGCCGGCGATGACGATGTGGAAGCTGATCGGGTCCTGATGGAACCGTAACCCTGAACCCTAAACCGTAAATCCAAAACTTGAACCGTAAATACTTGAAACCTAAACGAGAAATCCAAGATCCGAAGACATAAGCCCAAACACCACACCTGTCATCATACCCCGATAAGGCTTTTCCTCGCCAAGAGGAGTTGTGCTGTGCGCAATTCCTTTGAGCATAGTTGCAGGCATCATGCTGCCATGGCAGGATTTGTTCAGGATAAGTGGGGTTTAGGGTATAGCAATGGCACAGAACCGCTCAGGGGTTGGGGGCTGGGGAACTGTAGACTGTAAACCCCTCGAGCTGTCACGGTTCAGGCAAGCAGGATCCCAGGTAGCTTCCTCAGTACTTCCGGCAAACTCGGGTTTAGGGGTTTTCTCAAAAAACTGCTACGTTTCTTCCCTTGTTGAAAGGATTAAGCAGAGAAGAGGTCGGAAGAAAGGTGCCACTTGGGCCCGGCGCTTGTTGCGGCCATGGGTCGTCGATGGGAATCCATTCCCGGGAGGAGCTCACTCCCCTCCAAGGAGGCGGGAGAGGCTTGAGAGGGGTTTAGGGTTTAGGGTTTAGGGTTTAGGGTCTTAGGGTTTAGGGTTTAGGGTTTCGGGTTCAGAGGTGTAAGGTTTGGGGCTTCCGGGTTTCGGATCTGGGGCGTTTTTTTTGTGGTTTAGGGCTGAGGAGCAAGAGGTGTAGGTCCAACAAACAAGTGCTAGAATTCGGCCTATCAGAGGTCAAGGTCAGCTGGCCTGCCCGAACTCTTGAACCCTGAGCCAAACCTGTAAGGTCGGAGCTGAGAACACCCAGAATGAGTAAAACAGGCCCAAACCGAAATCCGTCGTCTCAAAACACTGAAGAGGCTTGCGTGGGTAACAACAAAAGAGGATTCTGCCCGGTCCTGCCTGGTAGCTGTCTGCAAGCTCTTTAGCGTGGGCAGAACCAGCATTGCAAAGTTCCTTGAGCAAGGGTGCAAGGGCTTCGGGCATTCTAGAGGGGCTAGGGCTGACATAGACGGGCTCTGCCCACAGGGCCTAGACCCTCAACCCAGAAAGCAAAATGCCCTTTAATGAGGGAGGCGGGCCTGGCAAGGTTTGCTTGTCGTGGGTTTACTCTTCATATCAGAATAGAACGCCCTGTTCATGTTGACAGTTCAAGATAGTTCAGCAGTCCCCCCCCCTTTTCTTCGTTCTTAGTAGGGAATTCGGAATTGGGATCTGCACTACAAGAGAAAGATTCTCGAGTAGCTGTGACAACACTGGAAACTTCTTGATAGCGTGATCATCGTAAACCCGCAAACGTATTGAGAGTACGATTGAGCTACTTTGAGCGGGGCGTTGACCGCGAGATGTATACATGACAACAATGTAACACTGACACAGGCAATACATGACCACTGCATAGTGTCATGCTGCCTGAAGTTGTGTCCAGCCGATTTCTTCTATCACAAGACCTGACGAAAACAGAACCACTGCACCACTGTAACGAGGATGTCGTCACCAAATTCCAGATTCAGGAACGAACTCCCCAACAGATTGCTAAATCAGATCTAGATAGAAAGCTTATCCAGGCCACATCTCCACGCGCTGGACAACGGGGGTCGCCAACGAAACAACTACAGCAAATCAAACTAAACCCTAAACCCTAAACCCCAAACCCCAAACCCTAGACCCCAAACCCTAGACCATAAACCCTAAACCCTAAACCCTAAACCCTAAACCCTAAACCCTAAACCCTAAACCCTAAACCCTAAACCCTAAACGAACCTCCAAACCCTGAAGGCATGCCACCCTCATGCATCCCCAGGCTGCGACTTGTGACCCTCCTCAGAACCCTCAAGCCTTTGCCCCTAAAGGGTTTAGGGTTTAGGGTTTAGGGTTTAGGGTTTATAAACCCTAAACCTGTCTGGCGAAATCCCGGCGGCAAGTCCATGCTGTAGCCGCCGCCCTACGAATGCAGCAAGCCAGGCGTCTAGGGTCTAGGGTCTATAGGGTCTAGAGTCTAGGGTCTATAGGGTCTAGGGTCTAGAGTCTAGGATCTAGGATCTAGGGTCTAGGGTCTAGGGTCTAGAGTCTAGGGTCTAGGGCCTAGGGTCTGAGGTTTAGGGTTTAGCGATCTCTTTTGGGGGTACCCTAAATATTAGGTGCCGCATGATCATAGGGATCCAAAAAGGGACAATAGGTCTATAGTCTGCAATAGTAGAAGAGGAACCCTACCCCCAAAACGGCCTGCAGGTTCGGAGAAAAAAGGGACTCGAGGGGCTGCGGCTTCTTCTCTGTTCTTCAAAAGTGCTGAGATGTCGGGCTGAGGATGGTTTAGGGTTTAGGGCTTCGGCTTTTTTGGTGGTAGCAAGGCAATGCTTTAGGGCTTTAGGGCTGCTACTCGGCTTCGGGCTCACGTCGAAAGCAGCCCGGCCTTCGCGAGCCTTAGCTGATGGCTCTCGCAGGTTTGCAAGTAACCGGACTTTGGGTAGCTTCGGGATGTTGCTTCTGGGGGGTTCAGGGCTTAGGGTTTAGGGTTTAGGGTTCAAGGTTTAGGGTTTAGGGTTTAGGCTTCTGGGGGCGGGGGGGGGGGGGGGGTGGGTTTAGGGTTCAGGGGAGCTAGCCGAGGAATGTCAGGAGTGCTTGCAACTGCTTCTAGGATATCTTGACTGATGTCGGCCCCCCTAAAAAAACTCAACGTTGGTTGTCCCCCATTCATAAAACAGCCCAGAACCACCGATTATGTTCTACACAGGGCTAGTTATAAGTTATCAGTCACAAGGCAGCCTAAACCTTCCAGAAAGAAACACAAGTCATGGTATTCCTGGAAGGTCTGAACCTCAGAAAGAAGGTAAGGACGTGGAAGAAAGGCTTGCGGACCTGCAGGCCCTGACTTAGACAGGAAGGCGTCCGTGCCCAAGAGTCTTGAAACAACGAACGAAAGCCAAAAATGACAACCCCTAGCCTTTGAACCCGACACGGAAGCTCCCTAAATTCGTGTCCCTTCTTGGCGTCCTACCTTATTTATAGTATGGCACCCTTCTCAAAGAAGGACCCCCCCCCATAAAAGACCCTAACTCAGAGAACTCACAGCTGGAATTCCGAGGCTCGGGTAAGCCCAGGAGCCCTGGAAGCCTCGGGCAGGGTTTAGGGTTTAGGGTTTAGGGTTTAGGGTTTGGGTTTAGGGTTTAGGGTTTAGGGTTTAGGGTTTAGGGTTTAGGGTTTAGGGTTTAGGGTTTAGGGTTTAGGGTTTAGGGTTCAGGGTTTAGGGTTTAGGGTTTAGAGTCTAGGGTTTAGGGTTTAGGGTTTAGGGTGCAGGGTTCATGGTTCAGGGTTCAGGGGTTAGGGTTTAGACTTGGAGGCAAATCAAGCTTTGGGGTCAGGTCTTCCGTTGTGGATGTGGGTGGGGCGGCAGAGTGCAGGTCCCTGGTGTCCACGTGGTTCCGGATTGTGAAGTACTAGTGTTTAGGGTTTAGGGTCCCAAACCCGAAGCCCTAAGCCCTAACCCTAAACCCTAAACCCTAAGCCCTAAACCCTAAACCCTAAACCCTAAACCCTAAACCCTAAACCCTTCCTACGTAGTGACTTTCAGACTTTGGGGCCCCCAAGCATACACTTACGACCCTCGGGGAAACTCAGGGCTTCCTCCCGGCTGGGGAAGCCCTAAACCCCAAACCCCAAACCCCAAACCCTAAACCCTAAACCCTGAACCCTAAACCTTAAATCCTAAACCCTAAACCCTAAGCCCCAAAACCCTAAACCCTAAACCTTAAACCCTGGACCGGGTTGGTTTGGTTTCGGACGGAATTCGGAAATCGACCTCAGGATTCAGGACTGATCGGACTGGACTCCAGACTGAGAGTAGTCGGATAATCAAAAATATGAAGATAACACCATAAGAATGTGATCAGAAGATATAGTATAATAAAAGATCAATATAATACTGTAGGGCTTGGGGATATTTAGGGTCTCGGCCTAGGGATGCTGATGTATGCTTAGGGCTTGTTTGGGCTGCGCGCGTTTCTCATGGGACTCTTCCGGGGCTTCTTTGCTGTGATGTCGGGCTAGGGCTACTTGGTACCCTAAACGGCCCTAAACCCTAAACCCTAAACCCTGATCCCTAGACCTTAAACCCTAAACCCTAAAGCCTACCGGCAGCCTCCGTTGAGGTTGGAGAGGAAGCCGATAAAGAAGACGATGACGTTCAGGATGCCGTAACTGCAGTGTGAGGATTTCGAGGGGGGGAAACCCGAATCCCTAGCCCAAGCTTCACGTCTTCGCGCGTATGATTAGGGTTTAAGGCCTAAAACCTGAAACCCTAAACCATAAACCCTAAACCTTTGATGCGACCCTCACCCCTAAACCGGGGTTGTTTATCAGATTATCAACCAATCATTAAGGTTTACGCTCCTGGTGTAAAAAATGAGGTGTAGACCAGCCCGCATGTGGAGACCTTCGGGGGGCACAGCCCGATACCCCAGCAATGAAGGAATGTGGATTTAATTCACGATCAAGATGTGGTGACTTCTCTAAATTAGGGGCCCCTTCTGGGGTTACGATTCTAAGGCGGCCCCTAATATTTAGGGTTCCCCCAAAATAGGGACCATAAACTTTGAGAACTCACCATGTAATCTCAGGCGTGTTGCTAAACTAAGGGGGATGGGGCTTTCTGGGGACCGGCGAAGTCGCCTAAAGCCCAAACCCTGAACCCTGGCTCAATTGGGGTTCCCCGATAACAAGGGTTAGAGCAGACTGGGAGAATGTTAGGAATACCCCTATTTAATTTCTCTTGGAATTCACCCTAAACCCTAAACCCTGAACCCTAAACCCTAAACCATAACCCAGACCCTAAACCCATCAGGGTTTAGGGTTTAGGGCTTAGAGTTGAATTGGCCTTGGTAGGTCGGAATGTGCCAAGGGGTGCTCGGCCCGTGGGTACAGGCTCCGAGGGTCTCGGGCAGACGGACCGAAGGGAGATCCGAGCCAAGCTGACGACTTGCCTGTTACTCAAGGGCTTAGGGTTTAGGGTTCAGGGTGCAGGGTTGTGTTTCAAACCCCTTTGAAAATTATTTATGACAAACTTATGAAGAGGTTTGCCTATAGAGAAAGAGAGAGAAGGAGGGTTTGAAGATATAATCCTAAAGCACTAGCCAGTTCAGGGTTTTAAGTTTCTGGGTGGCGGTGGAGCACCCTGAAATGGAGCCGCGCGAACTGTCGAACACACAGAAAGCCGTGCCAAGTCACGAGCCCCTGCCCTCACTGCCAACCCCTAAACCCTAAACCCTAAACCCTAAACCCTAAACCCTAAACCCTAAACCCTAAACCCTAAACACGAATGAAATCCTAAACCTCCGAGACCGGCGTACCAACCCGAACAACGCATCGAATGTCTTCAAGACTCCTTCTATACCTTCACAAACAGCGATCCTTAAGTCCGAAATGACAGTTTAGGTTCTAGCTATCTCAAATCCAACGACCTGCACCCAAGTATAGGTATGCCTTACTTGTCAGCTCATGTTGGGGTAAGGGCTAGTAACTAAGATAGCTAGACCCAAGAGTAACCTGGGAATAAAAAAGAGTAGCCTTTTTGGCTTAAAGGGGGCCATATAAGCGGACCCAAACCCTAAAAAAGGGAATACGGGCCTACCCGGGGTCCTAGTTCGGGAGAAGAAGGGGTAGTTGCGGGAGTAGGGGCAGTTTGTGATCCCACCCCTAGACCCTAAACCCTAAACCCTAAACCGGATCCCGGCGGCAGCAGCGTGGTGAGCCGCTGTTCTCCCAGCCCGCAGCGGCGGAAGCAGTGGTTGAGGCCCTGGGCCCAGGTCCTCTTCTCCTGGAGAGTTTAGGGTTTGGAGGTTCATGGCTGTAGGGATGAACTGAGGTTTCGAGTCTAGGACTCAGCGCTTGCATCCAAGAACGCGCGCAATTACTGCTCCTGCTACTGTGCCGGACACTGTTGCTGCACAATACCCATAAGTCGCAGCCCCAACGCCCTAGAACCCGGAACCCCGAAATAGTCCTGCAGCCCTCAAGGCCTGAACCCATATAAACAAATCCGATTAGGAACATGCCCCCAATTAGCCACCAGACCCTGCAGCCCCGCAGCTCGTTGGAGAAGATGATCTGCCACAAGCCCGAAAACCTAAAAGTCCCAAAGCCTTAAGTCCTCTACTTCTTGCTCATCTCATTAAAACCCGATGAGCCCTGAACACTGATAGGTTCAAGAAGCGGTTCAGTTCGAGAGGTGCAGGCGGGGTTTCGGGTCGCGGGTTCCCTCGAGGTTCAAGGTACTCGACTGAGCTCGTGGTGAGCTTCTGAAGTTCGGGTGTAGGCTTTGGAGTCATCGCCATGGGGGTTGAAAAGAGCCGACAAGTTGATCAACCATCAGCTTATCTGTTTGTCTACGATTCTGATCGGAAAGATTCCTGCTTTTTGCCCTATGGCCGACCTAGCAAGAGGAAGGGCATGAGATGCCAAAGCTTCGCAGAAGAGAACGCACAAGACCCAAGACTGAACCCTAAATCCTTTTCCGGTAATGCCGACAGCCGCCTGCAGCTAGTTGAGTTGCTTAGGACTAGGCACTAGGTGCCTGCGGCTTAAACCCCATACCTCTGCACTCTCGAGATTGAAACAAGGAGGTTGCTCTAAAGGTCCTCTAATGCAGAGGGATGGGCATATGGGTAAAGAGTCACTCGAACGGGGATCCGGGCTGACCTTACGAGAAAAAGAACCAACCGATTAAATGAGGGTACCCTTTTGGTTTAGAGGGGCTTATAAGGGAGCCTAAACCCTAAAAGAACAGGGCAACAAGGGCTCTTCTCTGGGTCCTAGTTAGGATCATCTGGGGATCGATATGTTGAACAATTCCCTGGTCATTTGGGCCTAACTAAAACCAAAGCACCAACCTCAGGGTGGTTTAGGGTTTGGGGTTTAGGGTTTGGGGTTCAGGGTGTAGGGTTTAGGGTATATAGGGCCCCTGGTATACCCGAATAAGGGGAACGCAAGATGTCCCAACAGCCAACCTACCTTAAATGCTGGATGCCGCCGTCCTCAGGCATCGCCATCTCTGCCGCCTCTGCAGCTAGGGTTGAAGAGTAGGCTTTAGGGCCTTGGGTTTGGGGTTTAATTAGGATGGTGGGTTGGGGTTTAGGGTTGAGAGTTTAGGGTGGCGCAGATGTGCGATGTCGACGAGACCGAGTATGTCAGCCAAACTCCGGTTCAGAGAGACCGAAGCCATGCCACCCAACCCCGAACCTCAGATCCATGACTGGGCGGGGGGGGGGGCGGGGAGGGGAGGGAGGTTAAGGTTGTACAGGCAAGTCAGGCTTGAGTCAGATGATGGCTTGAGGGTTCAGGGCTCAGGGTTTGGGGTGCAAGGTTTCGGGTTTAGGGTTTCATCCTGCCGTTTCAGGGCCAACGCCTGTCAGAGCATCCAAAGGGAAGTTTCCAAAGGAGGTCCCCTGTCTGGGCCTCCTTATAGTGGGGGCTCTGCTCCACTTGGAGCTGCAAAGACGAAGTTGGGTAATGAAAGGGCGATCCTAACTTAGACGACAGCCGATCAACCTCATCCCTGATCCCTAAACCCTGAACCCCAAAAGCTAAACCCTATACCCGAAACCCTAAACCCTGCGCCCTATCACAATGCCCAGCTCCCCCCACTCATCGCCTTCTCAGCAGCGGTCTCCTGGGTTCCAAAGCAAGCTGGGAGCAACAAAAAAGGGCCACCAATTTCTGTACAATATGATTGTAGAGGAGGCCTTGTACCCCAAAACCTGGAATGCATCTGAACAAAATGGGGGAAAAGGCAGCACGGGGAATCCCAGTCTCTTCGTCGCTGGCATAGCCGTTCACTTTCTTGGCCCACTCTTTCCTGCGAGGCGGCTGTCTTGTGCTTGGGGCTCAGGGGTTTAGGGTTTTAGGGTTCGGGGTTTCGGGTTGAGGGCTAGGGTAGGCAACAGGTCTTAGCGCCTAGGCCAGAAGCCTCATAACACATTCTTGCTGGGACAGCGTTGCCGTGCTTAGGGCTCAGGGGTTCTCCAGCGGCAGTGCAGGACAAGATGGCAAGAGCAGGGCAAGGTACGATCTTCTCCCTGTAGAACTCCTATGCGCACAGTGGAACCATAGTAGCCACGATCTGAATCTGAAAAGACAAATAGCAACCTTAATTAATAATTGTGTAACCAGAGTGGCCATGATCAAAAAACACAATAGAATAGAAACACAGGACCGCAATCCAAAAAACACAACATGGCAACCTAAATCCAACAAAGAAATCATAGCAACCGAATTCAAGAAACACAGCAACCATGATTGAAGAAAAACACAATCATAGTCATAGCAAACGCAAAAGCCCCGCCTTTGCTTGGAAATGATCTGACGCCGCTCCTCTAGCAGCTGCTTCAGCCGCTCCTCAGGAAGGGCTCCCTTGTTGGAAACGCTTTGCCTATACTCCCCTTAGAACCTTAATAAACATAATATTGTTAGTATCCTCTTGGGTTTAAAACAAAAACAAAAAGTTAAAAAAAAAAACCAAGAGAGATATAGTTACATGATGAAGGAAGTCCAGCCGGAGCCGCTAAGGATGTACCCCTACGAGGTTCCTTTGATGTACTCCTAGTATGGCCCCTAATTAGAGGATCTTTTGTTGGGCCCCCAAACCCAAAAGTACAACCTTCGGGGTCCCAGGTAGAGTCCCACGACCTAAGGCTTCTCGGGGTATATCTGTACCCTAAGGGTACGAAGGGTTGTAGAAGAACTGGAAACACAAATGAGATCTATGTGGTACATGGGAGAACCTACCCTCCTAACACTGCTTCTTGACTCCAAACCTTGATGCCATCATATAGGGCGTCGGGTCTTCAGGCAGCATTAAAAGCGTTGCGCTTGTTGCTTAGTGGAATCTTCAGGGAATACCCCCTGCTAAACGAGTAAAGGATACCACTCTAGATCGTGTATATATTAATAATAATAATAATAATAATAATAGTAAATAAATAATAAATAATAAATAGTTTCGACTGACATGTACTTCTTATCGCCAGGTTAGTTGGCGACTTGGCCCTCAGGAAAGATGAACAACATGGGCACAATGAAGTCAGGACAATTTAGAGTTTAGGGTTAAGGGTTTAGGGTTTACCCTTAACACTGTAAACCCTACTGGCAAACAGGGTTGACAGCACAGCCTCAAGGCAAGCCCGCAAGCGCAAGCACGCTCAGAGTGCTAAAACTATACTAGAAAACCTACACCCTAAGCCCTAAACTCCAAACCCCAAACTCCGTAAAACCCTAAACCCCAACACCCTAAACCTTAAACCCTGAGATGGATCCTCCTTCAAGACCCATCGAATGATGCGAGGACGATAGCGGGAAGAGCAAAGCCAGTGTCCGGGATGCCTACCAGGGGAGCTGAGGGTCGCGGGAGGGCCGGGGGGAGGGGGCAACTGAATGAGCTCGAAGCCTGCAAGGTTTGCGTCTGCTTTGTGAGTGCATGGGTGAGTTACCAGTTTTTCAGGTTTTCAGGTGCTGCGTGGGGTTCCCCCCCCTCCCCCGCACACCCAAAGGGTCCATATCAGGTAGCCCTAAACCCTCACCCTCAACCCTAAACCTCCCAATCTTGCTTCAATTTTGACCCCTTTGGAGAAACGTAGGGCCGCATCCCAGAGACTCAAAACACCCATTCCTGAGTCAGGGCCTAGGTGTACTTGGAGGTTCATGGTTCTAACTGAGGCGACACGTAGGATACCTGTAGTGCTAGTTCTAAGTGGCGGTAGCCTGATTCCTGGTACTTCTAACCCTACAAGAACCCAAAGTAAGGTCTCCGTAACACCCGAAACCCTAACCCCGTGCAGGCTTATACAGGGCATCCCAAAGGTGATAACAGAACCTAAACCCTAGAAAAAGGGAACAAGAGCCTACTTCTGGTCCTCACCTCAAGGCGTACAGGGCTGCCAGGAGATAAAGGATGAGGAGGACACCCACGGCCACGCCTGATTTCAGGGGGCTTCGAGGATTCAGTAGGTCTTAGGAGATGTGGCGAGTTCTCTGAATTAGGTTCCCTTTTCTGGCGTACCCTAAATAAGAGGGGTCGCCTTATGATAAGGACCCCAAAAGGGACAGTATTTAGGAGGAGTGACCATGTGGAGGTTTCAGGATAAAGGGCAGGGAACCATAGCAGCAGCCCAATGAGTGCCAGAGCAACTACGCGGTGAAGTTTTTCTTAGGTCTCCGAACCCTGAACAAAGAAAATGATGAGGGTGCCGCTGGGCATGTGGGTGAAGTAGCTCCCCTACTTGGATGTATCAGACTGCGAAGATGCTTGGCTGCTGTTTTGGGTTTCAGGGCCTTTCGGGGACTGACCCAGCCTGACCCGAGGGTGGGGGGGGGGGGGGGTTTGGGGATTTGGGCTTTGGGGCTTCAGGTTTACAGAAAGCAATCTAGTCCTGACCTCGCATGGAGCTCCCTCAAGCCTAAGGCTCTAGATCTCCACAAGCCGGATTCGAAGCCGCAGCATATGAACAAAACAAAAATTAAACTTCCCTTACTACCAATTGCTTAAGAACCCCTCGAAAAACAAAAATCAGCTTCCTTATACGAGTAGCATCGGGATGTTTTGAATTTTGTTTAGGGGTTCTTAAGCAACTCGTAGCTTATGCCAAGAGTAGCTTATACTGTATACCCTGAATGCCCTTACATTGTGGGGAAAGATGCCGTAACTAGTGATTGTACCAAGGGATTGTAGGTTTCTCTTGGTACACAATTTAAACCACAAACCCGAACCCGAACTTGAAGAGTGGCATCCCGAGGCCAACAGATTGTAGGGATCTCCGCAGGGGCAATATGCAGGAAGGCTGAAAAGAATCTCACGAAAGTCTCACGAAAGCTACAAAGCATCAAAGGATTTCCGGTCAGGGCATAGGCACAAACCCTAAACCCGACAACCTACACTAACGCGCCGACCCTAACCCCGAGTCTGTGGCAACCTGGCGAGGTGAGGGCACGAAGTTCGCTCGGCTAGGTCAAGAAATCAAGACACCCCAGCCCCAAACGCCCAAACGCCGAAAGCAGCCCAAAACCCCTGAGAGGGCTGGGGGAACTATAAGCCTGCACCTTCAATCTCTGGACATCTAGAGCTCTTCCTCACTAGGCACCGCAGCCCATCGCCAAAGAAGGTGCTGAACCCACAACCACCCTGAAGTCTAAACCCTAAACCCTAAACCCTAAACCCTAAACCCTAAACCCTGTCAGAGCAAGTACAACAAATTCTCCACCCAACCTATCATCCCAAAGCAGTGCAGCCTACGCCCAGGATGACGTTCTCGTAGGCTTCTAGCCTACAGGTCAAAACAGCACAGGGTTTAGGGTTTACGCTTGAGGGTTTAGGGTTTGGGGTTTGGGTTTAGGGTTTAATCAACTGAACATACGTCCTCTCGGTTGGACCTCCACTCTGCAGCGAATGACGCGACTGCAAGACTGTGGCGCCCAGCACGGAACCCCACAAGTTTCCCGTATGCGTGTACATACACACGCACACACATACAAAATCAACATACATATGGTACATTACATTGCGTTGCATTTCATGACATTACGTCACAATACATGAAAATTATATACGTACACAAACAGTGTCATACATACATACCTACAGGCATACATACATAATTACATACATACATACATACATACATACATACATACATACATACATACATACATACATACATACATACATACATACATACATACACACACATACATACATACATCCATACATACATACATACATACATACATACATACATACATACATACATACATACACACACATACAGACATACATACATACATACATATACAGACAGACAGACAGACAGACAGACAAACATACAAACATTCGTTAAATGCAGACATACATTACATACACTTCGTACATTACATGCACACATGGAATACGCGCGTACATACGTACGTACATACATGAATACATACACATGAATACTTGCATGCATGCATATATACACATATACATGCAAATAAATGCCTTTGCACATACACGCCTACTACTTTAATTACAACTACACATAGACATCTACATACCTAAACACATAAGATACATGTGCGTATATACATGTATACATATGCATGCGTCCATATCTATAGGACATATTAAACATGTGTATATATATATATATGAATATACATATATTGATGTGTGTATACACACTGAGGCAGGACAATCAAAACCGGAAGCAAGCAGGCGGCAATGTACGCGCGGGGAGGCTGTTCGCAGCAGACTCTGTCAGACAAACGGCTACCACGTCCCTGAAGCTGCCCTACAAAGGAGCACCTGTCTGAAATCGCAGAGGTCTCAAAGAGTTCATGCAAATGCCCCAACCTAGTGCTACAGCAACATCATTGAGCTACCCTCACCCTGTACCCTAAACCCTAAACCCTCAGCCGCCGAAGTGTTGGCAAAAATGGCCCTGAAAGTGCTGTTGCGACAGAAAGGCTGAAAGCCAGTCACTGTGATCGTGGCTTTATGCGACCGGTTGGTGAAGTCCTTGCCCCAAAGCTCGACAGCGCTATTGAGGGGTTAGGGCTTAAGGTTTCGGGTTTAGGGCTGGAATTTCTTCTTCAGACTTGGGGGTTGTTCTGAATCAGGGTCCCTGTCAGGGTCCTTGTCTAGATGCACGCTACGGCTTTCTATATTTCTAATGGGGCGAGTACCTATAACTGCCTGGATTGAACTTTGTTCAACAATTCCATGCGCAGACGAGGCCTGCGATTGGCAAGGTGCAGGAAGTAGGGTCTAGTGCTTACTTGGAGGTTCATGGTAGTCAGAAGTAAGGTCATACGTAAGGCAATTTATGCTTAAAACCGTTTATAACCTTACTTAGGGTACTTATAACCCTACCTTATAACTATCCATGAACCTCCAAGTAGGGAGGGTGTGCAGGGGCCATCCAGCCTGCTGCAGCGAACCCTGCGCAATATCTCAAGTTTCATTTCGAGGTCTGCCTGCTCTTAAGTACTGTGAAGCGCGAACGCTTCCCCTAAAACCTAAACCCTAAACCCTAAACCCTTTTGTGCACTGCTGTCGTGTGACATGAGGTTCCTTGGCATGCAGGATCTGAACCTAAGAATGAACCAGCGTGCCTTGATGCTCTGTTTCGTGGGATGCGAGTGCCCCCCTCTTAAGAAAAGGGAAGTAGGATCATGAAAGTCGCGGCACTCGCAAATCACCAGCTTCAATAAGCACTAGGAGTACACTAAACCCTAAACCCTAAACCCTAAACCCTAAACCCTGAACCCTAAACCCCAATGTCGGCAACATCTTGCGCCTCCTGGATCCGAACACTGCACCAGCTGAGAGGTGTGGCACAGGGTTACCATATAACCCCAAAACCTACTTTTTTGTAGGTTCTCTTCCTATAGAAACCCCTTCTAGGATTCTTAGGTAACCTACAAAAAACGTCGGTTGTGGGTTCTTAAGGTAGGATATCGGGTAGGAAGGTACAGGGTAAAGGCGACCTGCACCGGTCTTTTTGCCAAGGCTCATTGTTGCGCGTGCTGGCAATATGATGCGTCCCAACCTAGGCAGCAAGCAAGGCCTAATTAGGATTTAGGGTTCAGGGCTTCAACCCTACACCCTACAGTAAACCCTAAACCCTAAACCGTAAACCCTAAACCGTAAACCCTGAACACTAAATCCCAAAGTCCGGAATTAATATCGACTCATGGTTTGGAGCTGTGTTTTCGTAGGGTTCGGCTAAAGGCTTACAGTCTGGGGTCTCAGGTAGAGCGCTTAGGGTTTAAGCCCTTCCCACAAAGCCTGAACACTGCAAAACAGACACCACGGCAGGGTTTAGGGGTTATAGGGTTTTAAGGGTTAGGGTACAACTGCAGATGGGATATCCGCGGGGGGAGGGGGGGGGGGATATGGCTCATTTCTAGGCTCCGGTACTCTACGGGCAGCAAAAACAATCGCAAAACCCTAAGCCCTGTACACCCTAAAAATTGCCACAAATCCTGAAAAACCACGTAACATGTGACATAAAACCTAAAAGCCTAAAGTGGGGACATCTTGACTGTGGGTCTGCCATGCGGCAGTTTTCATTTCGACAAGGCCGCCGTCGAAGTAGGCAGATGCTCCATTCAGCTGTTTGCAGTTGGCCCTGGGTAGGCACACAGGAAACTGGGGTTTAGGGGTTGAGGCCAGCAACCATGCCATAGCAAGGGCGCCCTGATGTGGGGCTTGGTTACTTTTTCGGGGAGCCTAGACCGTAGCCAAAAGAAGCATCAAGTCAATTGAAGTTGCAACTTAGAAAGACTCAGCCTTCTCCACCGACCCCACGGCATTCCTCTCCCGCGCAAGCCCCTCATTTTCAGGCCCCGAGCCCTAAACCCTAAGCCATCAAGCCGTGTTGCGGGGTTTAGGGGCTTCAAGTAGATAGGTTCCTCTTGCAGTACTAAGTGATAAGGGTGAGATTTGGGATGTTCCGCCTTATACTAACAGTCCTTAATAGGGAGTCTAGTACCCCCTGTTATAATCCCTATTCAGGACTGGTAGTACAAGGGGGAACATCCCAAGGTAATGTCTCCCCGCAGGCAAAAGCGAGTGGCTCGTCGTTGTCATTGTTGGTGTCTGGGTCGCAGGTTACAATGCTGTCCTCGCATGAACTGCGGTCTTTTGAGCTTTGAGGGCCCCTGTCCACAGCTACGATCAAACCTTTTCCTGCTTCCTGGAAGGTTTGGGGTTTAGTGATAAGGGTTTAGGGTTTGGGGATCAGGGTATTGAAGCAAGTTTGTGGGTATCTCCTTCAGACAAGGCGGAACAGAGATTGAAAAGCGCTTTGGATTCAGAATCCTGAAGCCTACCCTTCGTGCCCCTGATATACATGCCCTAAAATAGGTACGATATTCAGGGTAGACAGGTTGCTCTAGGTAAAGCCTACACCTCAACCCCTTCCTGTCACTGGGACTAGCATAAGGCATTAGTGTCCTGATCCAGGTAGGCAAACTTCTCCACCAGTCGTCGCCCCTCCTGAAGAAACAGCCCCCCCTGAGAGGCACAAGCAAATTGTTAGAACGGGCCTGTTCATAAGCAGCGAAACTGAGGCTTCTCCCTTAACTAGGGCGCTCCCTGCAGCATCATAGAACTACAGGTACCTCAACCCCAACAAATTCAGGGATTTATAGGACAGAGGCATTGATCGGATGTAGGGATTTATGGGATTTAGGGATTTCAAGGACATTTATAGGATCTATAGGATTCAGGGATTCATAGGGTTTAGAGCTCAGGGTGCAGGGTTCAGAGGGCAGCACGGCACCTTCATCTTCTGGGATCTGCACCGTGGCACGTTCAAGAAAGGCCCAGGGTGCGAGCCACCCCCCAAAACTCAGGGAGAAGGCCAGTACACAGCCTGGACCCCAACAAAAACTAGACTCCAAGCACCCTAAACCCTAAACCCTAAACCCTAAACCCTAAACCCTAAACCCTAAACCCTAAACCCTAAACCCTAAACCCTAAGCCCCAAGCCCTAAGCCCTAAACCCTGAACCCTGAACCCTAGCAAGCCCGACATTGCTTCTACTGTTTCACATTTGAGATCAAAAGCCAGGCAAGGACGAAGCAGATTCCTGAGAGCCCAATACCCTCCCTAGACCCTAAACCATATATCCTAGACCCTGAACCCTGAGCCTAAACCCTGAATCAAGACATTTAGGCCTGGGGGTTTAGGATGTCATTGAGGGAGACGCAAAGTGCCCCACACGGTCACTTCTCTAATCATGGCCCTTCTGTGGGTTTAAGGTTTAGGGTTTCGGGTTTACGGTTTCCGTAATTTGGTGAACGCTTCATTTGCTTCAAGTGCAGACGCACGAAAGCTTCATCCCCGAAGCCCTGAAAGGGCCGAACCCCTGCAACCAAAACCACGTTCTTAGCCTCAACCTGGGGTCAACCCCTAAACCATGAAGCAGCACTTCCTTGGGATTTTGTAGGTTGCATAGGGGTCCTTGGGAAAACATCAACCGCAGAAACCCTTAAGCTTGCCTAATTAGCCGTCAACCCCTGAAGGCTCAAGCCGTGAATTACTGGCTGGCTCTTAGTAGGGAATGAGGGAAGAAGGGCCCCATGTATACCCTTCAAAGGATTGTATAGGCTACCTCGTTCCCTCATCCCTTCCAAAGAGCCAGGGGGATTCTCAACCCTAAACCCTAAACCCTAAACCCTAAACCCTAAACCCTAAACCTTAAACCTTAAACATTCCACTTCAAGCCCCTACCCTCGGCCAAAAAATCCTCGTCGTTGGGATTTGCAAGCGCGTTGAAGAGCAGGGTGTGCCTCTTTGCAGCCAACGGGCGAATACAAGGGGCCTTCATGGTTAGAATAGGGTTTAGGGTTTAGGGTTTAGGGTTTAGGGTTTAGGGTTTAGGGTTTAGGGTTTAGGGTTTAGGGTTTAGGGTTTAGTTTTTTTTTTTTTTTTGGGGGGGGGGGGGGGGGAGGGAGGCTATAGTTTATTTACAAAGGGGGCCATAAGGAATAACTATTCCGACCCCTATATTAGCAGCTTTTTGGGATTTTCCGATCCCAAGTGCTTTGACGTTTAGGGCTTGGAGGTTTCGGATTCAGGTGTGAAGCTTAGGGGTTTGCGGGGTTTAGGGTTCAGGGTTTAGGGCATTGCTTGGGTTCCAGCTCCCAATGACTCACAGAATCATAGAAGCGCTTTCAACGGCAAGCGAAGGCAACGCTCAACACAAAAAGCCACAGAACCAGGAGGCTCACAACGGCACTGAATCAGAAGCCTCTCACTTACTTCTCCAACAACCAAGGGAAAAAAGGTTAAACTTTCTCTTTCCTACTAGATAAGGAAACACAAAATGTTTACAGTTCAACTATGGGCTAAGTAAGACGAACCCGAAGCCACTTCGGAACAAAGCACACGCGGAGCCCAATCGCCCAAGCGCCTCACTTCTCTAGCAAACAGCCTCATCACCACTGACCTAACTCGCACAATATGGGCGCTTCATACCAGGCTGCTGTTCCACGGGAAGGGGGACCGTCTCGTCCCGACTGTGCAGCTGCACCTAGCTTCTTGGCTCGGCTATCTTCTCTAGCACCCTTTCTCTCTCTTTCTCTCTCATTCTCTTTGCTTCCTTCTTTTCTTTCTTTATGTGAAGCTATTCTCTCTTTCTCTGTCTCTCTTCCTCTTCTCTCCGTCTGTTTCCCTACCAGTCTCATTTTTGGGAAAGCGGCGAATGTCTCCACTAACTCTGCTGCCGAAGGATTGAAGGCATGGACGTAAATTGACTGAAACCACAAACCCTGATCATGGGCTCTTTGAGGATACACCCCTCGAACCCTTTGGCCCCAAAACCCCAGGCCCCCTAAAGAGCAAACGCTAGGATTTAGAAGGTTTAAGGATCAGAAGTTCCCCTCCCCCCCCCCCCCTCCCCCCCCGAAACACCCTAAACCCTAAACCCCCTGGACCCGAAACCCTAAACCCTAAACCCCTGGCAAACTTTTGGGAGTTCACCGGGCGCAGGTCGAGGCGCCAGGTTGGATCGATCGGTGCCCTGCCGCCCGTTGCCTGCGCAGGGTTTAGGGTTTAGGGTTTAGGGTTTAGGGCTTTTCAGGTCTGGGTGAGGGCCGGGGCCGTATCGAAGGTCAAAACATGCCACGCCGCCCTCCAGACCTTAAACCCATATGGTCAGTTCGCTAGCATATGCCAATGCTCCCTTTTGGGCTCCCTATAATAAGGCGTCCGCCATAATTTAGAGGACTGACCATATGTCTAGAGCATTGTAGGCAGGGGGGAGGGGGTGGGGAGGGGGGTACGACCCTGCCTAGATCCCTACGCTGTGTCCGCTCCTTACATTTCCCATCAATGAAGCGCGCGATCTCGGCAAGAACGTTTTAAAGACATACACGAATTGTCGATCGCGCTGCCTAGACACGAAAAGTTCCGCTTGTCAGGCTGCAAAACAAGCCAACGCATCGCTTCTCGGAGTAGCCCACAACCCTAAACCCCAGCCCTAAACCCTAAACCCTAAACCCCAAACCCTAAACCCTGAACCCTAAACCCTAAACCCTAGCAAACCCTAGCTCCCTAAAACACTGAACCCTTGCCGCGAGAGCTGACAAACCCGCGCATGTTCCAACAACAGAGGCGAGTTGAAGCTCTGACAGCTTCAAATGGCTTTGGGGCCCTGTAAACGCTCAATTTCAGAGGGCTAATTTCTTTAGTTTTATGTAGAGGTTAAGGCCCACACGACAACCTAAACCATTTTCAGCACGAGCGGGAGAAACTGCATCTTGTGTCTCAGGTACTTTTTCGAGCCGGGGGGCAACGAGCTTCGGCAAGTACTAGCTCTTATGTAAATCAATCCATAGGCAACAGGCAGAGGCTCTGGTCCGAACTTCGGGATTTCTACATATTTCGAAAAAACCCTCAGAACATGAGAGGGGCTTCAAGTCAAGGTCTTTTGCGGTTCGAGGATTTATCGGATTTAGGGTTTAGGGGACGTCATTCTGTTCATGTCAGAAGGGGTAGGCGATATCCACGAGGCCTGGCTTCACTATGCGAGTTATCCCTCTTTACGGGATGCACAGCGGTCGCGTTGTCCGCCCCATCATCCAGGACATTGTTTGGGCCAGGGCTAGCTACTCGATCAGAGAGAACATGCGACAACCCCGTACTAAGTTGTGTTGGCGTTTCGTCGCTCTGGACATTGTCTTGGAAGCAAAACAGGACAAGGCCGAGGGGGCTTAGGCTTCTTCATAAACACCCTCTAAATAGCTGGCGTAGTGAGGTCTTAGGGTTTTAGGATGGAGTAGGGCTTTAGGGTTTCCTGGGTTTCTTTCTTGTGGTTTAAGGTTCAAGCTTGTTAGGGTTTCTGTGTTTGGAACCCCTAAACCCTAATTAAACCCTAAACCCTAAACCCTAAACCCTAAACCCTAAACCCTAAACCCTAAACCCTGTGCTTAGGGTTCAGGGCATGGCTGCCTGCGTTGCCATTGTTGTTGGCGTCGGACCCAGTCCACTGGAAGTGCAGCAAAGTCCCCTGCCTTGGCTTCAAGCCCTAAACCCTATGCCCCCCCTTACCTATGACCCCTAAACACTAAATTTTAAACCCTAAACCCATGCCCTTACCTATGAACCCGAAACACTCAACCCCAAGCCCCGAACCCCTTTGCTTTTTTGTTTTCTTGCTGGCTCTTAGTCGGGACTTGTTCAGGCTGGATTTCTGAAAGGGGCGCCAGGGTCATAGGGGGTGGGAGTCCTGATCTGAGAAGATGCCCGTTGGCTCACGGCTCTTTCCTAAAGAGGACCCTAAAGAGGAATTAGGTATTAGGTAACCCTTACTAGCTCTTTGCTAAAGGGGAATGAGGAATTAGGCACCCTTTATAGGGAACCCCTTAGAAAGGGGGTTATGAGAACCATACAGTCCCCATTACCCTCAAGTAAGATAAGGTAAGGGAATCCCTTAATAGGGGTTATGAGAACCCTAAATTCCCCTAGACCCTAAACCCTAAACCCTAAACCCTAAACCCCAAATTACGAGCGGGTGAGTTCAGGAGGCTGCCGGGCCACTCCACCGAGAGCTCGGAGGGGACGAAGTCGTACTCCACAGAGGGGTAGACCTCTCCAGACGTAGAGTCACCCGAGAAGGCATCCCGGAGGTTGAGGGCACAGTTGAGAAGGGTTTAGGGTTTAGTGTTTCGGGCTTGGGGCTTGGGGTTCAGGGTTTAGGGCCTAGGGTCATAAGATTCCATGCAAAAAGACAACGACAAACCATGGCTCCCCAACAACTTCCCCACTGGGGAGACATCTGACGAAGACAGGGGCCTGCACGATGTTGCCACGTCGGCCACCTTGGAAGCACAGACTGCTCAGCTCAGAGATCATTTTGGGCAACCAAGAGTCAAATCAACAAGATAAGAATCAGCATTCTTGAAGCTGGCATAAAGCTAGAGTATACCGAACAAGCAGGCGGGGGAATTCCGTACTCCATTGCTTGTTGCAGCTTAAACACCCCTGGCAAGCTTGCACATGGCTTCGAGGCTTTTGAATGTGGATTGCACTGAAAACATGGGGGGATATGGGGGGTGTACGCAAATAAGGGACCCAAAAAATCACCCCAAATAGTAAGACCTCAACAAGGGTACCCCTACTTTTGCAAACCCCCAAATAAACTCTCGCCACGCGGCGCACGTTGTAGTTGACAATGCGCTTGCCATCCGGCACATTGGCAGGTCTCTCCACGACCTGGGTTTAGCGTTGAGGGTTTAGGGTTTAGGGCTGGGGGGTTTCGGGTTGAGCGTTGATAAGCTTCGGTAACATGAGTGAGATTCTAACCCCCAACCCCTACGCCGCAAACATGAACTTTCTCATCCAGCCAGGCATGTTTCTACCACAGCCCCTGCTTTTCATCACAAGGCTGAACAAAACCAAACATTCCAACATTGCGAAATTTCGGGCCCAGGCCGTCAGGGGTTTGCTGGCTTCGCCGAATCTCGTCTGCTTGACGGTCTACCCTACTTTTGACCCAAGATAGACCTACCCAGGCACCTTCAAGTATGCCTTCAGAACCCTACATAAACCCTAGACCGTGAATTTGGCCTAAACCCTAAACCCTAAACCCTAAACCCTAAACCCTAAACCCTAAACCCTAAACTCTAAACCCTAAACTCTGAAGTTGGAAACAGCAGGCTGCGCAGCTTGGGCCCCTGTTAGCGTTAGGCCGGAGGCCGCGCGGCAGGAGGGTCGCCAGCTTGTTTCTAGAGAACCCGAAAGTAACCTAAATAGGATTTGGAGGTTTAGGGTTTAGGGTTTAGGGTCTATTCGGGTTTGGGGTTTGAAGAAGTTATTGGAGGTTTGCCAACTTCAACCCGACTGTGTGCAAGCAGCAGGCGAGAAAGGAGTGGGTGCGATCCTCGAAGGTGCGGCCATACCTTACATCAGCCGTGCTCCCATCTTGCCATGCTTGCGGGTTTGGTGGTTCACTCAAACAGTCGAAAGCCCCCTAAAGCCTAAACTCTAAACCCTGAACCCTAAACCTTAAACCCTAACCCCTAAACCCTACATTCCCACCATCTGAAGGCACAAAGAATCGCATTGAAAGTGCAGTAAACCGCCTTGAAAGAGTGCAGTTGCAGGCGACCGAGCGCTGTTTTCACAGTCACCTTGATGCCACTGCTGCGGAGTCTTGAAGGCTACGGCAAGGTCCTGGGGGTTATGATTCTTAACTTTTGACAAGGCAAGACAACATATATAAGTACTCTTGAAGGCTATAGCTTTCAAGAGTACTTTACGGCAAGGTTCTAGCAAAGCAACATAGAAACTAGAAGCACTCTATTTCCCCAAACCACCGCCCCGCCTCCAACCCCTTATCATGCTTGCGTCTACGAGGTTGAGGGTTCAAAGTATCTTTTACCACGCTAGCAGGTTTTGTGGTTTGGGTTGCAGGCAGAAGCTGTGGTTTCCTCAACCCCCCCCCCCCCCGGCCCCAAAAAAAAAACAAATAAAAAAAACAGAGCAAAGCTGCTGGTTCGTGTTCACCTGTAGCTGTAGAAGGCCTCGGCTCATCATACCGACCAAGGAGGTTTGTTGCAAGGATGGCAGCTTATGAAGAGCTTGATCCCCCTCCCCCCCCCTGTTTCCTTGTGAAGTTCAAGAAACTTTGAACTGTCCTCCACGTGGAAACATTCCCAGAGGATAAATCTTTTGATGTGGTTTAGGGCTTAGGGTTTAGGGACCCGGAAGCCATTCTGAAGAGGTTTTGGGTGGACCCATCTGTATTCGAGCTACGCATATTGTGGACCCCCTGGGCTCGTCCCGAAAAGTCGTGGAATCCAAGTTGCGAGATTTCTCAGAACCATCTTCCAAGTTGAGCCAATCAGCTACCTCTGGATAGCGGGCACTTGCGGGTTCAGGGCCACAGTCAGGTTTAGGGGTTTTGGGGGGGTGTTGGGGTGTGGGTTTAAGGCTTGCAGGCTTTGAATACTTTGGGGTGTTGGGGTTTAAGGTTGGTATGTACGGGATTCCGGGCTGCGGTGCATTTGTTGTGTTTTGTCAATTTCTGGGGTGTAGGCAGGCTTTGGGTGTTGAAGGATCCCAGGCGCACTGTGGCGTACACAAGGTTCGAAGATGGATGATGCTTTAACACGATAATTGGGGATCCTCGTTACGACTTAAGGTCTATTCAGTCCATTCCCTATAGTTGAGGGGTATTGGGCTCTCTGGGGGGGGGGCTCCCGTTGCGCAGGACGGCAGGAGTTTCGCACAGCTTCCTATAAAAATCCCGGAAACCCGAGACATAGAAACCCTCACACCTGATCGCCCTCAACCGTCGACCCGCTTAATCTTCGAAGCCTCAAACAAGAGCCTCTACATCACAAGGGTTAGGTTTACCTAGTAGGCATAAGAGTACAATCAGCTTCAAATAGAAGATGCCCTAACTATTGAAACGCCTCTTTTTCATGTCAGGTACAAGGCTACTGTGTAAGCTCTATTCCATGTCCTAAGAAAAGCGAAAAGTACTGCCATTGTTTGGTGCATTTAAACATTCTAGGCTACATAGATCACCTCCAAGTAGATAGAGCCTTGAAGGCTTGCGACTCAGTTGCGGGATCTTGGGCCAGCGGAATAGGAACAGTCGGGCGCCCTTTGAAGATACTGGCAGAGGGGCAGCGGATCTGGTCTAGTTACCTGGGGGCGCGCAGGTAGCCTCTGTTAAAAGGGAAGAAAACCTTATTGTCATGTTTGCCCCTAACCCTAAACCCCAATCCCTAATCCCTAAACCCTAAACCCTAAACCCTAAACCGTGGGAGGGGTTTCGGGTTTCTGGGAGTTTGGGGCCCTCACACTTCGGGCGGCCAACATATTTTAACAGCAAGGCCTAAGCCCTAGACACTCTTGAAGCCCTCCAGGCTAACCCGGCGAGTCTTCCTGTGACACCCTTGGCCCTCGTGCAGGACTCGATTAAGCCCTAAAAAACCCTAAGCCCCCAAACCCCCAAACCCCTACACCCTAAACCCCAAAACCCCTAAACTCCCTTAAACCTACTTCGAAGCACCCGCGGGTGCCAAGGCCAAAGTTCCTACGAGCACCAATCAGAACTCCCTAACTAAGGGCAGGGTCCATGTACCTGAGCAGAAAAACACCTGGGTTTAGGGTTTAGGGTTTAGGGTTTAGGGTTTAGGGTTTAGGGTGTAGGGTGTAGGGTGTAGGGTGTAGGGTTCCCAAACTCACTGTAACCCAAACCCCACCCCGAATTGAGAGGAGAGCATTCAGGGTTTCCACAAAGACTCGAGCCGCCAGGCCACGCATTAGGGACAATGAGTGAGTTCCTTCTGTATCTTCGTATTTCCAGGGGCTGGAGTTTTTCTTTTGGAGGGGGGAGGCTCTCAACATCAACTGTCTATGGATCACACTGGATAGTGCCCATAGAAATTAACGACAAAACGCCCCGAATTGCCTCATCCTACTCTACCCTATTCTCTACCCTCATCCCCTATCCCCTAGAACACCCCAAACCATGTAAACCCCAAGGACCCTCCTACTGTCCTCCGACGTCGGGTGTTGGGCTGCGGATCGTTGAAGCGCCTGTCCATGAAGAAGGCATCGGCCAAGCCACCTGGCAACCCTAAACCCTAAACCCTAAACCCCAAACCCTAAACCCTAAACCCTGAACCCTATAAACCCTACACCCTAAACCCTAAACCCTAAGCCCTGAAAGGGCCAAAACCCCTCTACTCCGTGTACCCTGACCTCCTAAACCCAAAGCCCTGGGGCTAATGCGTACATTCTCAAGGCGGCGGGCTTGGGTTTCAAGGGCTTGGGTGCCCCGCATGCTGCTGAGAGGCGCACAATGAATAAATAAAAGCACAGTATGTATATATATATATATATATATATATATATTGATTTATTTAGATATGTGTATACATAATGCATGTATGTATGCATGCATGTCTATATAGATTATACGTGTATACAGAAATAATACATATATACATAAACATATTTTTAAAAAATGTATATACATATATACACAATATACATAAAAAACATAAATACATAAATAAATAAATACATAAATAAACAAATAATATATATATATATATATATTGTATATGCGTTGCTGGGCTCTCTGTTGCTCTCAAGGCTTCCGCAACCGCCATGCTGGTTCAACGCAGGTAGCTGGACGCACGAGAACGCCTCTCATCTTGTTAGCACAGAGACTTCTGTAAGTGGGGCTGCAAGCTCTGCACGGTTGGAAACCTGGAACAAACCCCCGGCTCCAAGCCAAGCGCCTAAAACACTGCGTCCTTACCCCTAAATCCTAAAATCGAAGCCCGCTGCACACCTGAAATACTATATTTCCTAAACCCTAAACCCTATCAACCCTGAACCCTATCAACCCTAAACCCTAAACCCTGAGACCCTCAACCCTCAACCCTATCAACCCTAAACCCTGAGACCCTAAACCCTAAACCCTAAACCCTGAGTGCCGCGGACCGTTTGAGCCCCAAACCCTCGGTGCGCCTGAGAGCTCTGTGCCTTCGACCTTCGGATGCGCCAGGGAGCCGTAGTTGAAGTCCCCTGATGCCACACAGGAGGGCTTCAGGGTTCAGGGTTCAGGGTTCAGGGCTTCAGGCTTCAGGGTTCAGGGTTCAGGGGTTAGTTGGGGTTCAGGTTTCAGGTTCCAGATTTGAGGTTTTATAAGGTTTAGAGTTTAGGGTTTAGGGTTTAGGGTTTAGTAGGGGGGTTGGAAGCAGCCTTTTCCCCTCTGAGGGTTTAGGGTTTGGGGTTTCCGGAGCCGCAAACCTTAAACCCCTGCAGAACCTAAACCCTATGAAGCTCTTCAGAGATTTTGGGCCAGGTAGTTGCCGCCTGAAGTGCCAACCTGAGCCGTAAACTTTACAATCCAGGGCTTAGAGTCTGCAGAGTTTAGGGCAATCCTGATCTTGTCAGCCTGGTGAGAACCGGTACTAGCTGACCCAGGTCCATTTGTAGCCACTTAGGGTAACCAAAATGTGCCTAAACGAGTACCCTAAAAATTGTTAACAAGTTGTAATTGTAGTATCGTTACTTATGACGCATGTATAACTACCCATGAACCTCCTGGTGGGCAAGCCGGGCCACAGTACTACACCCCGCAAACCAGCCATTAGCCCTTCAAATTAAAGCCCGGGCCAGATTATGGTGGCGTGCCTGTGGAGATGTTGTATCGAATGCGTAGAACAGTCCGGCCTGACAGTGCAAATGCATACGAAACAAAGCACCATGTCATAGAGAGCCGCCGCATGAGAGTTAGCGCTATGGAAGTGCTGGCTAACCGGCGTTGCACGCAGGGTCCATACGTAGCGGAAATGGGTAAGTCTTAGCGACGCGCGAATCTGTTGAACACAACGGTTGCCAGGCAGAACGTCCTATCCTGAGGGTCCGCGATGGAACCAAGCGCCCCGAAATCATGCTGAACAGGGCTTTGGGGTACCTCATTCCATATGTCGGTACAACAACTTCACCCTCTGGGTTCAGAATCCCCGAAGCCCAACTCTGCAAAGCACCATACGCTACACTCCCAATCCTATAACCCTAACTCGGCAACCTAGCTAGCTCCGAGGAACCCAGGGATTATGGTAGTTGAACATACCTGTGCCAAAGACAACCATAGCTAGGTCCCCTGTTTTGCAAAGATTTCCCCTTCTCGAGGATAAGAAGTCTTAGCTTGCTAGCTGCTACCCTGCTCCTGCTTTCGAGGTCTCACATGCTCGTACCCAATATAACCACCTAGGGAATGTGGGGGGAGGGGGTAAGAATAAGATTGAAAATCCCTTCAATCAACCCTGAACCCTTTCAACCCATAAAGCCTCAATACTAATACCTCTTAAAGAAGTATTCCGAGCCGCTTCAACCTTGGCCCTGCATATCACATGGAGGCACGCCCAGAGGCTGAGGTGAATTGCAACATGATGCTGCAAGGGGGGGGGGTTATAATACTCATGTAGCAGCAGCAATATACCAGGAGATTGTAAAAAGACATGAAGCGATACATAATAAGAAGGGTTTAGGGTTTAGGGTTTCGAGGTCTAGCGTTTAGGGTTTAGAGGTCTGGGGGTTTAGAGCTTAGGGTTTAGCAGGCCAAGCTGAACATCACACATCCAACTCAGGTGGGACCGTGTCGTCACGCAGAACCCCAGACACGATGGAAGCCGATGCCTTAAGCCTTGAACCCCTGAAGCCTGAACCCTAAACCCTAAAGCCTAAACCCTAAACCCTAAACCCCTAAACCCCACGCCCTAAACTCTAAACCCTGGAGCTTTCTCGTGTCTTCTCAGGGTTCTAGGGCTTCTTGACTTTCAATGCGTGGCTTGACAGCTACCCAGAGAGCCCTGCACCCCTTCATCAAGGAATATACCCTAAGACCCGAAACCCTAAACCCTAAACCCTAAACACCCTAAGGCTCTTGGGCCCTCAAACCGCTTAGGAGTTGGGACCCCAGAGCCTTCCTTAGGAGGTACCAGTCCGGAATAGTGTAATCATGTAATGATATACCAATCTAATCATACAACAGTATATGAATATTCTCATATATCATAACATAATATCAGAATACAGAAATATACGGATACAAGAATCTAGTAACACAAATCATATATTAAGCTAATCGTATGAGAATATGCGAATGTAACAGTACAATGATATACGAATATAACCATGTGATGATCTGATCATATCGTATTATAACCCTGGATCCTCAGGGCTGAAATCTAAGCAGCCTGCCTTTGACATGCTTCGGGATCTTCCACAGGTAGTAGTGCGGCTGCCCTTAGGCGGGTGTGTGCTTGCTGTTGTCTTCTCTCTGGGCTACCTCGGGGCTCATCCCCTCACCCCAAATATTAAGCCCACCCCCACCCCCCCCCCCCCTCCCAATAAAAGGGTTCCAGGAATTTACGAAGTTCGGGGCTGCAGCGTTTGAGGGAGTGCAGGTCACTAGTTTCAAGCTTTCGGGCTTAAAGACACAGCCTCGCACTGCAGAATCGAAAGGGCCCTGAGCGTCTCAGGTCGCACAGTACACAACCTCGAAATAATCAAGTTTGCGCGCCCTGAAATCCCCAAAACCCTGGCCAGGCACGACCTCTTGCAAGCATGCACCCTGCGCACATGCCCCCAAAGCCTAACTCCGTTGAACGGCGGGCGCAGGGTTTCCACGAATTCGGAATTCTTCGTCGGCTTTGCTGTAACAGTTCCAATGGTTCAATCATGCACAGAAACCTCGAGACGTTTTTAGGTCCTCCAGAAGTTCGTCGGTGCTGTGAAGGAAGACTGCTTAAGACTTTCAGCGGATTTTGCACAGACACTACCAATCCTTGAGGTGTTCATGATTGTTGCCGGATTACGAATAATTTCTGAAACAGCGGGGGGCACCTTACCATACTAAGTAGCTGAGCGACTTAAAACCTTCATACTTGCAGATTCATTTTGGGCCCTCAGAACTGTACTTAAAGTTACGAGGGCCCTCCTTGAAATCAAAGGGATCTGGAAGAACTCCAGAAGTGCAGCCCAGCATCCGTTTCTCACGTTTCCGTTGTGGTTGTCACGGCTCTGGATGCCACCTGTGCAGCCCACAATCAACTCCACGTGCACAGCCATAAACCCCAAACAGTAAACCCTAGCGCAAAATAGGCTCAGACGACGCAGCTGCTGCCGAAACCCAAAATCCTCACACAACCCTGTACCCTGACCTTCAGATTATCCTACCACCCCCCATACCCTGCCCATCGAATGGGTACTTCATCCCTAAAAGCTGAGCTTCGTGGGTGTAGGCGTTGTGGGCCCCCCCCCCCCCCCCCCCCCCCCCCCCCCCCAACGACTATTCCCTGAGAGCTGCCTGTGCACTCCGGCGGAGGCTCCTGCCAGGGCTCCTGGTCTGTCCACCTCAGAAGGAATAAGAGGCCTGACACAACCCTAAACCCTACACCCTTTGCAACCCAAACCATATATCCCCCTGCTGTGTTAGGTGCTCCAGGCCTATAGGCCGAGATCCCCTCCGCTTCTCCCACTTGCTTTTGCCCTATGTGCTTTCTTTTTTACACACTCTCGCTTTGTCTTGACAGTATGTGGGACAAGCACCCCACCACCCCGCCTGCACTCTTTCCTCTCCCTGTTGGGCCTTTCGTCCTAGAGGCTGTTCTGGTTAAGTACGGAGCTTCTTTCGACATGAGGCACTCACGATCTACGGGGCCACACGAAAGCTTTACGAGGCCCTGCCTACATGCGACCTCTACCCACAATGCTACATCTTCTTATATATATATATATGTGAGTAAATCGTTATATATATATAAACAAAAAAGTAAATATACAAATATACATATGTACATACATATATGTGTATATGTAGATATGTATAAATACATATACATATATATTATATATATATATATATATTTTTTTTTCGAAGAGAGAGAGAGAGAGAGATTAAAAAGAGAGAGAGAGAGAGTTTCGGGCCACGGCGCTGTCCCTCGTTGCTGATGCAGGCCTCTGGGTTGTTGTGCGCAGCAATAGAGCAGAAGCCCTTTGCCTGCGCCCGTGGCTCATGGGGATCATTGGGGAACCACGTCTTTTTGAGGCTTCGGGGATCTAGAACTTCTAGGGGTTTGGGGCATTTTTGCGCGCAGTTGCGAGCTGAGGGGGTTTAGGGAAGGTTCAGGGTCTACGATATCCATCCTGAGATGGTGGCTTCTGGTATAGGTTAGGGTCCTCAACCCTAAATCCTAAACCCCTAAGAGGGGATTGAGGGCGGCTGCACCTCCTTGTGAAGGGTACATCCACCTAAGCAAAACGCCACACAGTCAGAACCTGCGCTGCACCCTGAAGTAGGGTCTGGGGTTTATGGAACCCAAACCCTAGAACCCTAGAACCCTAAACCAGAATAATCCTTCAACCCAAACCCTGAACATATCCTCGGATCAGCCAGCACGAGGCTTCAGCGAGACAAAGTGAGAAACTAAACCCTAAACCCTAAACCCTAAACCCTAAACCCCAAACCCTAAACCCTAAAGCCTGCCTTGACATTCTGGGACTCTGCTCGGTAGTACTCGCACCTGGCCTCACATAAGTTGACGAAGGATTCAGGTGGCTGGTTCAGGGTATTGGGCGTTTCTTTCGGTCTGTGGTTTAGGATTTAGGGCGCGAGGGCCGAATGGTGGAGTTTAGTCAGGGTAACCTTACCTGGAGTCTCCAATGTAGTCCCTTTTTGGGTTAGTTATAGGGGATCCTAGTATACTACCCCAAAAAGGTACTACATAGGAGCCTCTAGGTACTGCCGAGACGAAGGGGAGCACACATTCAACGTCGATTTGTCACGTTCGATGACGGGTCAGGAGCGATCTACGGAGCAGCGCAACCGAGCCCTCCAGTTTAGGGTTTAGGGTTTGGGGTTTAGGGTTTAGGGTTTGCTGTTTGCTCTGCACGTTGGAAGCATGTAGTGTGGCCACGTTGCTGGGGTATATTTGCTGTAGTCACACTGTTGGGGCAATGGTTGCAACACGTGCCCTATTTGGTTCTTCGGGTCAAAAGGAAGAAGGCGACAGCCGGGCATCCCAGATCTCAACAACCAGGGAGGTAACGAAGTCCCGCAGTTCGCAGAGTTTCTGCAAAATCTACAAGGTAAAGAAACCCCAACCCCCCAACCCCCCAACCCCCAGCCTCAACCCCCGCCTATAGTATCAACTACACTCACACACACACACAATTTCCGTTTAAATCATTTGCTATGGGGTTCTTGTCGGCCCCACCTACCGCCGTCTCTCCGCCACCCTCACACACATCCACACACCCACACACCCACACACCCACACACCCACACACCCACACACCCCCACACCCACACACCCACGAACGCACGCACGCACGCACGCACGCACGCACGCACGCATGCACGCACGCACGCACGCACACGCGCACACGCGCAGACGCACACACGCACACACCCACACACCAACACACCCACACACACACACACACACACACACTCTTACACTCTTCCAGTTTAGGATCATCTAGGGTTTAAGGTCTAGCGTTTAGGGTTGAAGGTTTAGGATTTCATGTTATGGACTTGCACTCTTCTGTTCTTCCTCCGCGGACCTGCGGCTCATCCGTGAGCACGGCGATGTCGTGCCAAGGTGTTGGGTGCCAGTACGGATAGTAGTCCCTCTCCTTCCAAGGTTTAGTGTTTAGGGGGTGGGATTGAGAGTTTAGGGGTTAGGGTCTTGGTCTCATAGGGTTTCATTTTTGTATAGACTGCTTTCGGGTTCCCAAGTTTAGGATCTTCTTCCGCGAAACTTGGCGCAGAAGAGATGCCACTCTCTATAGCGTCAGCCTTAAAGCCGCAACAAAAAACAACAAACCCTAAACTGCCCTAAGACCCCAAAAAGACCCAAAGCCCTGACTAAACACATAAGAGCTTGCACATGGATAGGTTGGAGGTCACGTGGCTTGGTTGGTAGGATTTAGGTCTTCAGGGGATAGAAGGGGATCTTGAGTAGGGCTTTTGGGGGCTTCGTCTTTTAGTGCTTTAGGGATTTAAGTAGGGTTGAGGGTTTTAGGGTTTAGGGCTCAAGGGCCCACCCTTGGTTACGACATGCGCCACTTGCCATTGGGAAAATTGAAGCTTTTGGGCTCGGCTTACAAGGCTTCGGATTCAGGGTTTAGGGTTTAGGGTTTAGGGTTTAGGGTTTAGGGTTCAGGGCAAGGTGGAACAAGTTGAGGAAGGACTGGATGTGCCTGGATGACTTGTTGGTATCGTTGCTTTGCTCGCGGGGATCCAAAGGAGAGGGTTGGATTGCAGCACTGAGGACTGTAGGCCACTGTAGGCCTCACATCGGGCCCCTGGATGAATGCTCAACTAAACACTTAAGAGTTTAGGGTTTCGGGTTGAGGGCAATGGCCTCACCTGAGGTTTGTATCAATTTGTATACCATAAGCCTTGAACATCCACTTTAAGTTCAGGGCCTATATGCGGGTTTGGACCTTCAGCACATCTTGTGCACCAATTCCAACCATAACATGCCTACCTTGATATAAGTTCTTCTCATGGAGATGTCATTATCTTTGCGAGAACGCGCAACAACTCGCCCCCCCCCCCCCCCCCCCGAAAAAAGTACGAGATCCCATCCAAGGGCACCGGTTTTTGGTATAGTCGCGTGTTGACAGAGAGCTTTCTGTAATGGGGTCTGGGGTTTTGGACGGGAGAAGAAAAGCACGAAGGATCCCTACCATGATTTACGGCAACTCCACACGCGCACACTCGGACCGCAGCGACACTTAAGAACTTTGACCTGCTTCTAGGGTTTAGGGTTTAGGGTTTGGGGTTTGGGGTTTAGGGTCGTACAAACAAGATGGTGGACACAAAAGGTGCCCTTGCTTTCTGTTGCGGGCTACGCGGAACTCAAGACCAACCCTATGCCTTCGGCTCTCAAGAGCCCAAGCACCTCATATTACCTACGTGTATATGTCTATGTATTTGTTTGTCGGTTTGTTTACACATGTGTGGGTTCTTGCGGCCGTAAGGCCTTTACAGTCTTTCACAGCCCGAACCCCAAACAAAACTACACACCTAGAGCCCCTAAACCCTCAGACATCTGAAGGCGCCCTCCACCCTTGCACCCTGCAAGAACCCTAGTCGCTTGAAAGGTTTCGAGTGCAGGGTAGGTGAGTTGTACTAAGCCCAACCCCCCCCCCCCCCCCCGCAACAAAAAAAAAACCTCACTCGACTTCGATGCGCCGCACCCCCCCCCTCCCCCCCCCAAAAAAAAATAAACAACATAAATATATATATATATATGTATATATATATATATATACGTATATATATATATATATACATACCTATAATCGAAAAACCCAAAACTATTCTTCAACCCTGACACACCCAAAAGCGCGAACCCGCCCCTCCCAAACAAGAACAAGAACAAGAACAAGAACAAGAACAAGAACAAGAACAAGAACAAGAACAAGAACAAGAACAAGAACAAGAACAAGAACAAGAACAAGAACAAGAACAAGAACAAGAACAAGCAAACCCTAAATTCCTCAACCCCCCCCCCCCCCCCTCCCCCCCCCCCCTCCCCCCCCCCCCTCCCCCCCCCCCCTCCCCCCCCCCCTCCCCCCCCCCCTCCCCCCCCCCTCCCCCCCCCCCTCCCCCCTCCCCCATACCCACCCCCCCCGCGCCTCGGGACACTCCAGGCCGTGGCGCTGCTGCCCGCGGCGCCGGCCATTGCCGTTCCTGTTTTCTTAGGGTTTTGGGTTTAGGGTTTTAGGGTTTTAGGGCTTAGGGTTTAGGGTTTAGGGTTTAGGGTTCTTAGGGTTTAGGGTTTTAGGGTTTAGGGTTTAGGGTTTAGGGTTTAGGGTTTAGGGTTTAGGGTTTAGGGTTAGGGGGATGCGCGGTCAAGGGACTCCAGCTCCCCTGAACAAAAAAGAAAAGTACCCCTAAAAACCCTAAAAACCCTTTGAAAACACTGCAAACCCTACAGCAGCCTAAGACCCTTAAACAAAACCAAACAGCCCAAAACAACAGGAGCAAAACTGGAGCCCAGAAAGCTCAACAAAAAAACTGAAGTCCTGCTGAAAAAAAACCTCTCCACGCTGTGACCGAGCTGCGGGTTCTGTCGGGTTGACGTGGCCCCACCATTCTCTTCCATCTGCCTGTGGGTTTAGGGTTTAGCACTTAGCTTTGGATGTGTGGTATGTAATTAAGGTGCGGGCTTCAAGGATTTAAGGGCGGGGCCACATCTTCCCTGCGCATCTTTGCCGGACGACTGCGGTGCCCCAGGCCTGCCCCCGCTCCAGTGCAGCACTGTTGATTACAAAAGTGCTCTGAGGAGGATCTGCATTATTCCTTCTTCTTACAGGAGGAATATGTTAGTTTCTTAATTTGGAAGGCTGTTACGAATAAATCGCATAAACCATCTCTTGTCGCGCGACCCTTAGGACCCCCTTTTGTTCATATTCGCAGCCAGAAAAACCCATTTCACGAGCAAGGGGGTTATGGAAGCAACAAGTGCTTTGCCGTCGAGATTGGGATTGGCAAAAGTAAGAAGCGTTTACGGTTGAAGGGAAACACAAAACCAGAACACTTACTACCGGTAAACTCGAAACTCGCCTGAAACTGAAAAGCATGGACAGCTGATGGGAGGTATAGGAAGAAGTAAGGTGGGCAAAGAGACAAAACCTCTTAGACATACTTTCCCCACACACCGTGACGTTGACATCCGAAACCTGACACTCTACAGCCAGGCGCGCGACTCAAACCCTAAACCCTAAAACCCCAAAACTGTGTAAACCCTACAAGCCCTACACCCTAACAACCTAAAACCCTATAAGCCCTACAAGCCCTAAACCCTAAACCCTCAGATCCCATAAAACCCCCCCCCCCCCACAGGCCCCATAGCCTGTAAACCCTAAGCTTAATCCCTGTTCCCCTAGGAAGAAAAAAGGATCCTTTTTTGTTTATCTATAAGAAAGCCCATAACCCAAAAAGTAAAAAGGATCCCTAACACTGATTTAGTAAGCCCTGGCCTGTCAGCAGTGTACAGGCCCTTGTTGCGCTCGCGCTCTGTGCAAGCCTCCCAGCTTAACGAGGAGTATCCTGAATGCCCTGTGATTTTGAGGGGGGGGGGGGGGGGCCTCCTACAGTCGGACAAAAAGACTGTAAGAGGAAGTCTGCGTGCTGAGGGCCATGTTGTGGCCATGGCAGCCCACAAGTCCGCCGATCCGACATGCGAACAGGCTAGGTGCAGTCATTCCGAGTTAGAGTCTTGCTCTTTCCTCCAGCCATCCTTTGCTTCATGAAGCAACATTAAAACCCTGATGAATTTCTATACACTCCCCGACGACCATTGTATCTTTTGCCGCAGCCTCCGTTCAATGTATCCAGCCGTTTAGGAGGAGTTGGGGTGCTTATGTAAACAGGAAGGGTATGTTGGAGTAGTTTCTACGATACTTATGCATAGGGTTTGTCAAGGGAAGCAACTTTTTCCCCACTGGCCTGGTAGAAGTCCAGGGGCTCGTGATAACCTGCTCAGAGCGAGAACAATTTGCTTTGGGATTTTCTGTCTGTCACAGGCAGACCCTGGCCCTAAACATCATACTCTGGGGCACTCAGAATATCGGAGCCGTTCAAGGGGTTTAACCTACCGGTTCTTAGTAGTGAATGAGGGAATGAGGGGCCCTATAACATTTCTTAAAGGGCATATACGGTTCCGTGGGGTTGAGCGATGTTTCATCTGCTGCACCCATCCTAAACGGGCCGGACTTTCTGGAGGCTGTGAATCAGAAGGAAGCTCAAAGTCAACAGGCTGCTTTTCACAGTATCATTTGCAATACTGCTCTGGAGCTCGATGCCAGAAACTGAAACCATACCAAAACCCAACCTGCAACCCCCCCCCCCCCCCCGCCTAGACCCCTAACCCCAAACCCCATCTAGACTCCTGAAAGCTTACGACATCGGGGCCTCGCGCTGGCTCAGCGGTCCCCTCCTGCCCGGTTGTGCGTTTGCTAGGCTGCGCTTTGGGACTCTACTGGTGTATACGTTGTTAACATGAATTTAAGGTTTAGGGTTTAGGGTTTAGGAAGTGGGGTTTAGGAATTGGGGTTTAGGGTTTAGGGTTTAGGGTTTGGGGTTTGGGTTTAGGGTTTAGGGCTTCGGGTTAAGGATTTGGGGACTCTACTTGGGGTTTACATTGTTTGCATACGTTGAAGATTCCCAGTGGGCTTCTCAGTACCCTAAACAAAGTTAGAATATGACTATCCCCCACTTATACTTACCAATACAAGCTCCCAGCATGGATTCCTTGTTACTTGGTAGCCCAGTAACCATACTATAATAAGGGCACCCTTTTTTTGGCTAGCTTAGTTTATAAGGGAACCCATAACAAAAAAAAGTAAAGGGTACCATACCTAGTCTAGGTACCACTGGAGGGACCGCAGTCTCTGAATCTGGCTCCGAAAGGGCTCCTCGAGGCCCTCTGACTTTACGTTTACAAACTGGTTTGCACACATAGGGCAAAGACGGCGTTGCAAAACTTTCAATACATGATCAGGCCTGACCACTTACCTACTGGTATGAAAACAAGTAGTTCGTGCTCAATGCAACGTGTTGCATTGCCATTTGCTGTTGAAAGGGAGTACGAGAAGAATCAGATACCAAACACCATTGCAACTAGAAAAGGCATGTGTTCAATTGCGCCAAAGCAGCAGTTTCTGTGTGCGTTTAATTAGATAAAACCCATACAGCATGTAAAAAAGGAAATCAAATAGAATCCATTAAAAAGCAATGCTGGACGATGAGACTAGCCTGCAAAAAAGGGAGTTGCGCGCGCACACACACACACACACACATGATGGAAATAAAATGGAAACCTGTGACTGTTCCTCTACACCTGTGTCCCTGTATAAGCGCCCTGTAACTCCGGGTTTCAGCAAAAGTAAAAGGGTTCAGGGTTTATAGGGTTTGAGGTTTAGGGCGGTTTAGGGAGGATTTACAGTATTATAGGGTTCTGGGAGAACCCCACATCCTCTCCCTGCCCTGGCGCCCCACCTCCGTGGGATCATTGTCATCCCCGCCGGCGCTGCCTTGTCCTGGCATCATGTCACGAAAAACTTACTCTTTTAAGTATGGGCGTTTCCTAAAATTGGGCACCCCCCGGCCCCCCCCCCCCCCCCCCCCCCCCCCCCCCGTAATGGGGGAAACCCCTAATTATATGCCATGTAAGGATTCCAGCACGTGTCCGTCATTCGTCAGTTCCCCACAAGGCAGCACAGCTCCATTAACGAGCACTGCTTTCCCGCAATGTCTGCGGAGATTGCCATACATTGCGAGATCGGTTGTCGATTGTGGGGCTATGCCCAAGGCTTGGGGCCAAATGCGCTGAAGCCCCAGTCAGGAACCCTAAGCCCCAAACCTTGAGGTGTTTAACCAGCTCTCGGGCTAAGCGCGACAAGCCGTTTAAGCTGATGTCGGACCAAACGCGGCAAACTGCCTGATCTGATGCCGGGCTCTAAACCCTACACCCTAAACATGCCTGGTCTTGCTTGAAGCATGTGCCGGAAGCGGTACAAAAGCTAAGCCTTGGGGCGGTTGAGGGCGTTTAGTGTTTAAGGCTTACGGTTTGAGGCCTAGAAAGGTCTAGGGTTTAGGCTTCAGACTGAGGGCTGCGAGCAAGCTTCTCAGCCCAGAACCAAATGGCCTCAATCCGATGACCCCCCCCCCTGTTCGTTAGACCCCCCAATAAGTAGGATCCCCTTATAACAATAAGAGCCCAGTTCTGGTAGCCCCTAATATCGCAATCCTCCCCACCCCCCCCTTTAAACAACCGACCTTGACCCTTGAGCCCGTGCAACGTCGACCCTATGGAACCAGGCATCCAGAAGCCGAACTAAGATGCCAAACTTCATGATAGTGGAAACCCCTAAACCCTAAACCCTAAACCCTAAACCCTCAACCCTCAACCCTCAACCCTCAACCCTCAACCCTCAACCCTAAACCCTAAACCCCAAACCCTGGACCCCCTGGGAAGGTCCAGTGTGATCTAGTGGGATCTAGAGCAGCCAAGCTCCTAAACATCATGGAGTCTAGTTCTGTGCTGCTGCGCAACAGAAGCGCGTGATATAGGGGCCTGAATAACTAGAACAGGGTTTTGGGGTTAGGGGGGAAAATGAGAAATTGTTCCGACCCCTATTTTGTCACCTGAGCAATGTTAAGACCTGGACATGCAGCGGCAGGCATCAAGTTAGCATTATTTAGCAAGTGTTGGGCGACATGTTTGCGCCTGTGCCATCGCGAAGATTGCGATTCTCTTCTTCATCTGGGCAGCACGTCGCGCTCTCTTCAAGCTTAGCTGAGGGGTGAGGTCTTGAGTTTCAGCTTGAAATCAAGGGGAGGTAGTATGGCACTCGCTGTAGTGGCGGAGGACCCCGTCGAGCACGCTCCCCGGACAAATTTCGGGGAGAAGGGGAAGAATGTGGAGGAACGGGCCTGGGCTGAAGGCCCTTAAAGCCTGAAACCTTCATGTTTGTAGTACTGCTATGGAACTAGGTGCCCATCAACCCGATGGAGTATGGCTCATGGGTATCACTAACCCGTACTGCGCACGAACCGCCTTAGATGTATACTGAGAATGCCGAAGTTCTGATGGCCGGAGCACCTCTAGAAGTCTGGCGTGATGACAATTTGGCGCTTGTATCTCCCCTAATCTAAACCCTAAACCCTAAACCGCCCTAAACCCTATAAAACCGGGGCATGCACGAACCCGATTCCACCGACATCCGTCGCATGAAAACCCAGGGTCAGGAGTCAGGAATTCAGAAGTATGCACTGGAGTTATGTCAAGGCTTGGACAGAAGCTAGAGACTCTTTAACCAGACAGATAGGAACGACACCTGTCTGCCCCGCACATGTAACGTATCTCCCCTTGCCGGACTTCGGACTGCCTTCACGCAGCTAAGCAGAAGCGACGCAACAGATCCCAGGACCAAACCCCCAACAATTCCCGCAAACCCATTTGAAAAGCCTTACTCACCCCTTACGGACATTGTATTCCCCAAACCTTCCAAACCCCAAACAAACTCTTACAACAATTATTTTTCACTAAACCCTTCTAAACCCCAACACCCTTACGCAAATTACTCCCCCTAAACCCTTCTCAACTTAAACCCTGAACCCAACAATTAAGGCCCTTCTACCGGCTCGCGCAGAGGCCCCCGGCTCATATACTGCAAGACAATCTGGCCTCAGCTGAGAGGTTCCGCAAGGACCCGAAACCTTCTAAACCCTAAACCCCCAAAAACCCTAAACCCCGAAACCCTAAACCCCTAAGAGCCGCAGACCCTAAACCTAAATAAACCCCTAAACCCCCTTAAACCCCTCAACCCCTAAAACCCCTAAGCCTTGACAGCCAGAAAAAAGATTCCAAAGCACATCTCAGCCGCACTTGAGGTTTGGATGGCCCACGCCACAGCCATGCCTCGGCCCCCGAGGAATCCCACTTCTCTGGGGCTTGGGGTTTAAGCGTGTAGGGTTTAGGGGGTTTAGGGGTTTCGAGGTTCAGAAGCTTCGGGTTTGGGGGTTTAGGGTTTTAGGGGTTTCGGGGGTTTAGGGCTTCAGAGCTTTCAGGAATAAGGTTTTGCAGGGCTTAGGACTTTAGGGCACAAGGTGAGGCGCGTGTGGGTCGTTTGCCTGCGAAGTACCGCTTTCGATCTTTTCTGAGCTGACCTTGCTGCTTCTGTTGCCATGTTACATCAATGTTACAGTGTCCGAACCTCCTGATCGCCCAGGGTTTACTGTTTAATGTTCATAGGGATTAGGGTTCAACGTGCAGGTTGTACGGACTAGCATCTGTGGGTAGAGGCTCTGCCTGTGGCGGCTTCTGTTCCGATATGGCGTAGGCTTTAGATCTTTCGGGGCTTCGCCCTAAACCCTCAAACCTGAAAACTAAACCCTAAACCCTAATTAAACCCTAAACCCTAAACCCTTCTCGGGGGCTGTAGGGTTTCTCCTCATCTCCCAACCTTTCGGCTTGCGGAGCTGAATTCAGACGCCACGTGGCTGATGGTGCCATTCGATGTAGAGCTCGGAGCCTGTCTTGAGGCCGGGCTTAGGGTTTAGGGTTTAGGGCTTAGGGCTTAGGGTTTAGGGTTTAGGGTTTAGGGATGTTCCCCCTTATACCAACAGTCCTTAATCGGGTTTATAGTACCCCCCCCCCCTTCGATGATAATCCCTGTTGAGGACTGCTAGTATAAGGGTAAATACCCTAGCCCGAAAAAAGGCTAGCCTTCTATTTGTAGTAGGGTTATATATAGCCCAGAAGGAAAAAGGTCAAGTACCCAGCCCCTACGGTTTTGTAGCCCCAAATGACATTAGACCGGCATGGGCGACTATGCCCCATATGCCCCTTAAAAAGGCTCTGTATACGGTTGCTTATGGGGATTATGAGACCATCCTGGGATGCAAAGATTGAACGGGCAGCTTGGTAGATTAAATCCCGACCGCCTGATGCACGTCGCAGGCCTCACTCCCTTGGGCACGAAAGCCGCGCACCCTCATAAAACTACTGTACAGACGTCGGTTGCGAAGGCTCGATAATTCTTAAACCCCTCACCAAGGGTCTAGGGTTCAGTGTTTTATTTTAGGGTTTAGGGTTTAGGGTTTTAGGGTTTAGGCATTCTACACTTGCCACATGCCTTGCGTTAGCTCGCAACGACAGCCAGAACTAGGCTTAGGCGTGAGGCAGGCTAGGGCTTCTAGAACCCTAAACCCCAAACCGCTCTAGATTTCTAGGCCTATCCGCAAGGGCCCCGTAAGGCCCGCTGAGCTCTAAACCCTCAAGCCCACACATGGTTTAGGGTTTAAGGTTGGGGTTTCGGGGTTTAGGAGTTTTTTAAGTTTAGGGCTTAGGGGCTTAGATGCTTGTGATGTAGGGTTTAGGGTCCCCTGTAAACATTAAGCACTGATGACTCATGCCGCATGCGCAATGCAGGTACAGACTGTAAAGGGGCAAGGTTGTGCTCTAGAACGCTACAAGGCCTGGCTTAAAGCGATTGTTTCACCCTAAGGACCCTTGTGGCACCTGTGCACCCCAATTTACTATATCATCCTTTGAAAAGAACGCCCCCATCTTGGCATCGACGTTAGAGGAGCCATGAATGGACGGTTCTGCAGGAATAGGCGGGTTCAGATCTGCATTTCCTGTCCTAGAGCCACCTCACAGGCTTGGGCTTGGGGTCTTGGGGCTTAGAAGAGGGTTTAGGGTTTGGGTTCAGGGTTTAAGGTTTAGGACCTAAGTCACCTAAGCTCCCAAGCAGGGGGCCCTTCACTTCATTACCTGGTAGTTTACCAAAACAGGGACTCCTAACATAGACCCCCCGAAGTTATCGGATGTTTAGAAGGACCCAATAAGGTACTGTAATATCGTAAATAGGGGACCCCTAAAAGAGACCTCCAAATAATCGGATCCCGATTTAATCAGAACCCCAATAAGGGACCCTTCATATCGTAAACCCGAAACCCTAAACCCCCCACCTTGCCTTGGTAGAACTTCATCGTCCCTTTCGTAGCGCCCTCCTTTGTCACGTCGTACTGGTTGTTGCCATTCTGCAAAACCATGCCAGGAACCCCCCCCATGCTTCGACAAATTCTGTATGAATGGATGAGTTTAGGGTATAGGGTTTAGGGTTTGGGGTTTAGGGTTAGGAGTTTAGGGTTTAGGGTTTCATGGCAAAGAGAAATCGAGAAATCGAGAACAAAGGCAAATTGAAGCTGCCGATTCGAAGCTCGCCTTTAGTGCTGCTTCATTGCTTTGCCAGCCGACTACGACACCAGCTACATTCATGGTCCCTACGACAAAAAAGGATACGCATTCAAGTTTGTCATTGCATGTCGTTTTCGGCTCTGTGTTGTGTGTGCAAAGGACGGCTGGTGTGACAACCGGCGAGGGGATGTGAAGATTTGTCGACTACCATCCTCGTGTTGTGGACACCCTGCAGGGCAGCAGCATGCGTGGGCAAGCATGGGGGTTTGCGGCCGCCCATTACTGGTACAAGGCCTTTAAGTGGAGTGGCTTTAACACAGTGATAAATGTTCGGAGTAAGGGGCCAGAGGATCGACCCTTATGAAGGACCCCAAGGGGCTTGTTCTAGGGTTCGGCTAGTTCGTACTGAGGTATGTTATGTTGGGTAGAGAGGTTAGCGCTCCCTTCCAGGGGCCCCTCCGGTAAGGGGTTATAGGGCTTAAGGCTTATATGGTTGCAGGGTTTAGGGTTTAGAGAGAGGTCCTTGCAAGCGGGCTTGCAGTCGTCACCGATTTGATACCCAGAGGCCGCATTGTTCTGGGAGTCGAATAGTCCTTGGTTTGCTTTGGAATAAGTGCATGGAAGTTCTCAAGCCCCAAGCTCTTAGCCCCTGAACTCTAAAGCCTGAAAGCCCGAAAGATCCTAAAGCCTCGGCGACACATACAGAACAACAGCTGCAGCAGCAAGCAGCAAGCACTCCACCACAAAAACAAATCACAGAAAGAACGGGGGTCCTTGTGGCAAAGGCCCGTATTCAAAAATATCCGAAACGGGAGCCGATTCTTCGGAAGAGCTACCAAAGACCCGAAGCCCCAAAACGTTCGGGCCCTACGGGCCAATGACGCCAAACCCCCCAAACTCTAAAGCGCCAGAGCTTAAAACCCTAACGCCCCAAGCCCAAGATGCATATAGACCTGAAATTCCCATTATAGACAGTCCCTGAAGCCCAAACGTCCAGGCTGGTAGGCCACTGAGCACTCTCTAAAAAATTGACGGAAAGCCCCCCCCTGACTTGCGCCCCCTTGGAGCCCCTTAGGGCCCCCTGCACCTTCCTTGCACCCTCGCCTTTGTGCTGGTTGTCCAGGTTGGCGACCACCGTGACGGAATGAAGAAGTTGTATGGAAAGTAAGCAGTTGGCTTGAGTTTAGGCCTAAACCCGAAAAAGGAATAGATCTTGGACGGCGTGGGGTGGGAGAAAAGTGTTAGATGGCCTTCCACAATCGGGCCAAAGCTGCTCTTCGAGCCTCACGAAGCTTTCGAGCTTGTTCCAAAACCTAACCTTCACAGCATCTACGCCCCATCACAGCAAACCCTAAACCCTAAACCTTAAATCCTAAACCCTAAACCCTCAGGTTTAGGTTTCTGATTTTATCCTGACATGCCATAGTTAGGCTTCTTCCCCTTGCTTGTGACACCCTAAACCCTAAACCTTCGGGCAGAGGGGTTACGCTCTGAAGGGCTCATGGGAGCCCAGCAGCTGTTGGCGTTCTGCACATTGTTGCTCTGCTCGCGCAGCTTGTTGTTGGAGCCACGAGGGTCTAGGCTTGATGGGATTGAGGGCTTGGGGTTTGAGGGCTTCGGAGGGTTTAGGGTTTAGGGTTTAGGGTTTAGGGTTTAGGGTTTAGGGTGGGCAGGAACGGTCGAGCCGGACTTCACGGGTAGACATGTCCCTGGAGTAACCTTGTTGCCCTTGACAAACGGAAGTGCGTCGTCTTAACTGTCGGTAGATATGCCTTGTTTAAGGCACAAGGCTGCTCCAAGTCCTAGCAACAATACAGGCCATGTCCATCGCGAACCCCAGAAGCCCACGCCCTCAAACAGTCTCATATTGAATTCTCCAGAAGCCTAAGAATAATCAAAGGCACCGTCTGGGGCATGGGCTTTAAAAGGGAACAAGGTCCAATCTGGCAAGAATACCGCTGAGCATCCAAGCAGAGCGAGAACCGTGACATGGCCCCAACAGGAACCTTAAACCCCATAAACCCTAAACCCTAAACCCCTGAACCCTGAACCCTGAGCCATATTAAGCCTTGCTCCCGTCTTCAGTCGTGTTGTTCTGGCATCTTTCATACTCAGGGCTAGGCTCCCAACCAGCGACCCCACAACCCTAAACCCCTTAACACTTGAAGAACCCTAAACCCTAAACCCCTGAAACCTGAATAACCCTAAACCCCTAAAACCTGGAGAACCCTAAACCCTAAACCCTCAAACCCTCAAACCCTCAAGGCCTCTGAGCCTCCCGACTGTTCAGATACATGTCTGCCTCGGTCGCGCATATCCCCAGCAGCCAAAGACCGGCCAAGAGGGTAGTCATGGCGGCAGCCGCGTCCCGATACACCAAGCCCCCTGAATCCGAGACCTCTGGAGGGTTTAGGGTTTAGGGCTAGAGGCCTCTCGAGGGTTTAGGGTTTAGGGCTATTAGGGCTCAGAAAGCTGCTGGATGGAAGATGTCTGAAGCATGGACTACGCTTTGGTGGCCGTAGCGTGCGCCTCTTCCCCCAACAGGGCGGCCAAACCAGCTGCGGGGCCATGCGGCGGGTGAAACCCTTTGGGGCTGTACAGGGCTTCGGAGGGGTCTGTAGGGTTCAGGGTTTAGGGTTACAGGGCTACAGGGTTACAGGGGGCTACGAGGCTATAGGGTTACGTCTAGGTTTAGGGTTTAGAGTTTTGGGTTTGGGTCCTTCAGGGCTTTTTCAGAGCTCCGGTCAAATGCAGAACCAAACAATAAGAACTAAAGGGGAGGGGGTCTTTGCTTCACCCACCGGCGACACGGAATTGAGGCTTACGGGTTGCAAATTTGAAGGTAGGGTTATGGGGCTCATCTCCCAGAAAGGCTTTCGCGGTTGATTTGGGATTGTTTCTCAAGGCCCCGGGCTTTAGGGTTGAATATTACACCCAATCCTGCAGCCTTTGCTTTGTCTGTGTTGGCGCGGGAGCGGTATGCTGGGAAAAGCCTGATACCTAGCTACTCGTGGCTTGGCAATCAGTCAGTAGGGCCGCTGTCGAAGTCGTCTGCCAGCATGCGAAACGAGGTTGGTCTCACCCCTACGAAAAGAGGATTTCGCAATGTAATGCTCTTAAAACCCAAGAAGGGAAACTGCCGACTATCGTCTAGCCAGCGCCAGGAAGGCTCCGACTTCAAGACGGCGAAACTTGGATAAAGGGCATTTTGGCTCCCCCACGCTCAACTCCCAAAGTTGTGAACCTTGAAGCCCCTGTTGATTGTGGGTTTGTTTTTGTTGGAGGGTTTGGGGTTTAGCGTTTAGGGTTTAGAGAGGATAGATGGCTTGGGGTTCGCCTCGACCTTGTACTTAACGAAGGAGTAGATATACCCAAGAATTCAGGTCCATTGTTCCCCTTTGTAAGGGTGTCTAGAACCGGAAGAAAGGGTTTTTGAATGTACTAGGTCGGACTACATTTGAATCGGTTAGGGGTGCGTCTCCGCCGGCACTTTGCGACTTCCGCTCGGCCGGGAGCAACCGTAGGCTTACTAAATAAGCCATTCCGGATGCTAGTTCTTCCTTCCAGGGTCCAGTCGAAAGTTCAGGGGTTAGAATGCACACGAAGACGCTCGAATGCTCCTGAGTTCAGCAAGGTCGTTGCAGGAATGCAAAGCCCTGGATATGACGACCCATGAACCTTTCAAGCATCCTTGTGACCCTGGCGGAAACTCAAAGTGATCTTGAGAAAGAGGGCTGGGTCCCAGAACGATGCCACCCTGAGCAGCCCGGATCTGTAAAGCAAGCTCCGGGCGGCGGAACGCTGCACGCCGCCTCTCTCGGGTTTCCGAGAGCGGGCAGCGTACTACCGGACACCTCCCTCAGAAATTCGTGCAGGCGCCCTCCTGCGAAAGACCATGTAATTACTGGCAATCCATGATGCTCTGCTGAGCGCGTGATGTCATCTGACTCTGGATGCCATGCGGCCAAATGAACCTTATAGCCTTAGACCACGGGAGGACCGCAGCGCGACTGCAGCTATCGAGGCTTCACCTTCGCCGCACGGCGATGGCGTCGGCAAGATGCCCGACGCCAGGGCCATGCAGAGACCTCATCGACACCCGAGCCATCTCACAGCTATGACCCTTTGTTTTCGAATCGGCAACATATTGGGAAAAGCGTGCGCACTTGCACTATGCAGGCTGCAGCCGCGCCAAATTCTGGTTCCGGGCGCATCACTCAAAGTGAGTGCCCCTGATTCATGACGTAAGTACTGAAGCCTTCCGGTAGGCAAGGACTATTGGAGCTGTAACACATGGGAGGGGGACGTATTTTGGGGGTGGGCGCCGGGGGGGGGGGGGGGTGTGGGGGGGGCGGGGAGTTGCCGGGGGGGGGCGGGGGGGATGGAGTGGTGTGGGTGGGGAGTCCTAAACCCCGAATGAGATTTATATGGGGAATCTCAAGATGCGACCTTGAAAACAAAAAAAATATATATATATATATATGTATACAAACATATATATTTATATTTATTTATGTATATATATATATTATACATAAATACGTACTTGAACAGTGTATACCCTGATTTGGAACAAGCCCCTCCCCCACCCACCCCCAAGCTGTGCCAAAGAAGAGAATCATCCGGTATAGAGCCTATACAATTGTGTCTCGGAGCATGTGTGGAGGGCCGCAGTGTGGGCTAGACAGGAACATGCGCATGCGCACGTTCAGCACATGCAAGGATTCAACAAAACTCTGTGGCTGCCCCATTCAAAGGGGAGGCCAGTCTGTGCTGTATAGAACCACGCGGGCTTCAACGTGACCAGCCTGGCATGGGCAATCATGGGTATAGGTTCTAGGAACAGGGTTCTGGGTTGTTTGTTTACTCCCACACCTAAAGTCATTTTGAATGTGTAGGAGCCATGCTCACCCCAACACTTCAAAACCATCCATATGTTGACGGCCGCTATATACGGTCGACCCTTTCCTATAAGCCCCAAACCCTAGGCCCCAAACTATGTTTTTGGGTTAGGCCATTGCTATAGGTCATTGATCACTTCGGAAACCCCGATGGTTCACCCTACCTAGACTGACCTACGCTCAGGGTCTAGGGCTCGCTGTTTAAGAGCGCTACTTCAGGAGTTTTGAACTTTGTTGAGGAAGCTGCTGTTTTTGGCCTCCCCGATGGTGCAAACCCTACCAGCCCTGTACCTCCAATTGACACCTATGAACCCCCAACCCCCTGCCTTATCCTCCCCGCATCAACCTCAGTGCCTGTGAACAAATCCTCAACTTCACCCTAAACCCTAAACCCTAAACCCCAAACCCCAAACCCTAAACCCTAGTCCTGGACCCTATAACCCCAAACCCAAAAAGCGTAAAACCTAGACCCTAAACCCAAGGCGCCTGGGAGACATGGTTTCGGCCAGATCTGTATCCTCCGGGCAGGGGCCCAACTTAGGGACGCAGAGGGTTTAGGGTTTAGGGTTTAGGGTTTCGGGTCAAGGTCTTAGGCTTTTGAACTATGAACCCTTAACCCCTAAACCCTAAACCCTAAACCCGAAACCTGTAAACCTTTGCTAAACACCGAAATCCCACACCCTAAGCCCCAGACCCTAAACCCCACAACACACCCTCCCCCCGAACTGAGGATAGCCCCCACATCCGATATAGGGCTTAGGGTTTAGGGATTAGGGTTTAGGACCCAAACCTTAAGCCTTAACCCTATCCCGGAATCCCCTTAGATAGGGAAGACGCCCACAGCCCACACACGCAACCTCGCATTTTGGCGGGGCGGGGGGGGGGGGGGGGGGGCTCATCAACTCCAGGTTCCCTGACTGGGTTTAGGGTTTAGGGTTTAGGGTTTAGGGTTTAGGGTTTAGGGTTTAGGGTTTGGGGTTTGGGGTTTAGGGTTTAGGGTTTAGGGTTTGGGGTTTAGGGTTTAGGGTTTAGGGTTTGGGGTTTGGGGTTTAGGGTTTTAGGGTTTAGGTTTGGGGTTTGGGGTTTGGGTTTTGGGTTTTGGGGTTTGGGGGTTTGGGTTTTGGGGGGTTTGGGGATTGGGGTTCAGGGTTTAGCCAGGTACGCCAAGCTGCTGAGGCCGGTTGGCAGCCACCAAAAAGGAGCGACTAGAAGTGCTCCTGGCGTGGATTAGGGTTTAGGGTTTAGGGTTTAGGGCTTAGGGCTTAGGGTTTAGGGGATGGGTTATTTATCTAGAATGGCTTCTTGCTTTTTCTGGGAGTTGCTGTCATTCTTGCTTTTGCCATTAGTACCCTCGCTCATGACGAAGTGCTCTTGGCTTGGCATAGGTGTTTCTTGGCTGGCTGAGCTCGCTAACCCTAAACCCTAAACCCTAAACCCTGAACCCTGAACCCTTAACCCTAAACCCTAAACTCTACTGCACGGATCGAAGGATGCAGCCAAGAGCCACAGAGGTTTAGAGGGCTTTATTGGGCGCCCTGAAGCCTCAAGCCTAAAGCCTCAAGCCTAATCCGCTTTGTAGGGCTTGCAGGGTTTGGGCTTCCTGTTGGGTTTGGGGTGGGCCTTGCGGGAGTAGGGTTTTGCGGGGTCTACCTCATGAAGCTTCAACCCAAAACTGCTTCAAACTCTAAAGCCCAATGCCTGAACCCTAATCCCGAAACCCTGAAACCTAAACCCCAAACCCTAAACACTAAAACTTGGGAGCTTAGGTTTATACGGGGTTCAGGGGAGGCGTCTCGTGGGTTTCGGCCTGTGGATGCCTGTTAACGGTGCAATGGGGTTTAGGGTTCATAGCATAGGGTCTGGAGGGCTACAGAGTTTGGGTTCGAGGCAGTTTAAGGTGCAGGGAAGGCATAGGGACTAGGGTTTTAGTGTTGAGGGAAGGCTTCAAGAATGCTTGGGCATCACAAGTCTGCTTCCGGCTTATACGGCGACCCACACCCCTGGGAGGATCCAAAAAGTAGATCCCTCTAAGGGTTCCTAAGAATGACTCAATAGTAGTTTAGGGGTACTATTTGGGGGTTCCTAAGAATGACTCCATAGCAGTTTAGGGGAAGCACTTTAGGGGACTATGTGGGGGTTCTACTTTTTGGATCCTCCCAAAAGGTTTGGGTAGAAGGGGCTGTAGGGTCATTGCCAAGGCCAGTGAAGCCTACCGTCCTAAACCCTAAACCCCAAAACAACCCTATAAAACCCTATAAACCCTAAACAAAAAAACCTATAAACCCTGTAAACCCTAAAACAAAAACCTATAAACCTTAAACCCTAAACCCCAAAGTCCTTGAAGAAAGAGAACCGTGTGCCACCGGGAGTGCCGATGAGATCTGAGTTCTTGATG